ACTATGATTTGAATATAATAATTAATAATTTTTTGTTTCTCTGGTTACATATTTTTAAGAAAATATGAAATCTGACGTTATGATCAGTTACTCAGTGTAACAAAAGGCTGAGTTATACGGTGGCCATGATGTGCAAAGTGCTACAGCAAATTGAAAACAATTACAATTAACAAAAACACTTCAACATTAATGAAAACACTACAACATTAATGAAAACAATGCAACATTAATAAAAACACTACAACATTAAAAAAAAACACTACAACATGAACGAAAACACTAGTTTTTGTACATATTAACAAAAACACTTTAACATTAAGGAAAACAGAAGACGTATGTCCCAGTGGGAGATCTAAGAAGTCGCTGATTGGATTACAGGTCATTTTACTTTTGAACCGGAAATTATTCTAGGTTTAATTTGATTTTTAAAAACATAAATGTTCTTGGTGATCCAAACTTTACTCTATTCTAGAGTATTTTGAGTCAGGACATACATACGAGCTGATACTGGATATCATCCGAACCAACCACAAAGTGTCAGTGAAGCCCAGTTCACACTACACTATTTTTTGGCCCGATTTTGCCCTTGAGACATTCTTAGAACATTCTGAGTTCTAAGATTTTTGCGTAGAACTCAGAACCCTGGTTCATCCCAACGCAGCACAGACACAAAACACTCACACACACATACACGTGAGAGTTCAGAGAGACCAATTAACCTAAAAGTCATGTTCAAGGGTTGTGGGAGGAAGCCGGAGAACCCAGAGAGAACCCACGCATGCACAGAGAGAACATGCAAACTCCATGCAGAAAAATCCCAGTCCAGGAATCAAACCCGGAACATTATTGCTGCAAGGCAGCAGTGCTACCAACTACATAGCCGCTTTAATAACAGAATACATAAAATTATGTAAACATAAGGCATTCACATTTGTAAAATTAGGTTTATGTGCAAGGCTGTACTTAAGTTGATAAATTAAGGTCTGTTTGGGAGCCGAAAGAGCCAAACTTCCCCTTATTGGGAACAACCAGTTATTTGGATTAGGGGCAGTTGGTTTTTCATGTTGGGCTGGGTTGTTTTGTTTTTTTCACTTAGTAAATAAAAATCCTCATTTGAAAATAGCTTTTTTGTTTCTATTCAGATGGTCTTGGTCTGACATTAAAATTACACTGTTTTTCTGACACATTCCGGTGTCAGACAAAGAGATCAAAGTAAAGACATTCTTTAAATATTTATGAAGACACAAACTGGAATAAATATTCCACCTGTGAAATTTAAAATCTGGACTTTGAAATGTTCAAACTGAGTTCTTCTCAGAAATGATTCTCTGTGCGTGCAAACATCTGGAAGACCCACCTGTTCCTTGTTACTCATGGATGAAGGTATTTCTCCCACACAGCTATATTACTCCTGAGCCTGGACTTGGACAGACTGAGGAACGCAGACCAACGCAGAGACGGGTTTGATATTTGTAGAGATCAAAGCAAGGCCAGTGGCTGTGGCGACTGCTGAAAGAAAACATGTTTCATAGCAGCATTCCAGAAACAGGCTGAGGCTGGAAGGGTGGAAACCGGAGGAGGAGAATGGCTGCATCAGGGTTCTTCAGGTTAACTATACACCATCAGTTGCAGTACAAATTGTTGGATCCCTTCTAGATCCTCAATATTGATTTGATGCACTTTTAACAAGACTTTCTCCCGCCCCGTTGGTTCACTGATAGCCCAGCTTCACTCTTAACCTAATCATGAACAATAGAACTGGTCAGCAGAGGACACTTTTCAGACCAGCCGATAAGTGAAATTTGAAATATTTTGGAGACTTTACATAAACTAAAAAAATGCAGAACTGAGAAACATAAACCAAACTAGTAATCTGGTAATCATGGAATTCTCCATATACTGCAGTATGCTCTCATTTGCACAGTTTGCTTCATATGGGAATAATTTATATAAAAAAAATCACAGGATGAAAGCTTTTCTGGAGTTAAGTAAATTACACTCACAGCTAGTGTTGTAACAAAAACAATAATACCTGCTCTGTGTTGGATTGTGGTGAGGAACAGCTGCCTGGCTCTCTTCACATACAGAGAGACAATCAGAAGGGGAAAACATGTGCTTTGAGTTTACAGAGCCTTTAAAGTGGAGGCCAGTTGGAGAAGAGAAGAAATGCCTTTAAAAAGGAGTAAAGAAATAACTGGCTTAGCTGTAGGTGTGTGAGGACAGAGATCTGTGATGTTAAAAGTTTGTTTTTGTCAGATGCAACACTACATGTCTATCTTAATCATAGAAGCACTGTCCATAGTACAGAGTCTCCCCAAGAGTTTGTCCCTTCTGTCGTCTGGAACACAAAAGAGAAACATTCATGCACATAAACTCATGCCCTGGGACAGCTAGACAGACTAATTAAACTGACTAAAAAAGCAGTTATGTTTTTTTGACTATGGGAGGAAGCCAGGGAGAACCAAACCACGCAAATGGAGAACATGCAAACTTCATGCAGAAAGATCAGGGGGGAATGAGGGATCTGCAGTGGAAAGGCTACCGTAATAGCAACTGCACCACCATACAGTATCAGGAACTCCATGTTTGTTTAATGTGTGGTTGCCTGTGTGAGGTGTAATCCACAGTAGAAAGTGGATGGACGGATGGACGGACCGATAGTTGTTTCATAAAATCACTTTCTTTCAAACTGCTATATTTTACACTCATGATTTTCTTTGCTGTTGGAATGGAAATTTTTTCAGTATGTGATGCAGATGTGGTGTCAAGCAGTGATCCAATGGATTTGGATGATAAGATGATAGATGAATAAACTGTTTTCTTTCTTCTCCAACATGGTTACGTCTCCAGAAACATACACACACATGCACACACACGCACACACGCATGCATACAGACTCAAACACACCTCTGTCTCACCATACATGTGTGGACTCGCATTAATTTAATTAATTATTTATTTCTATAGCCTAACCCTGACCTTTTCCCTAAATCTAACCACTTTGAGTATATACCTAACCTTAACCTAAACTCAATTCACATCTTTGTCCTAAACCTAACCCCCAACCTAAAAACTTTGTTTTTCCATTCGTGAATGTGTCAAAATGTCAATGTTGATTTTTGTCAAGAGTAAGTCCACAAAACGATAGGCAAAACGATAGGCAATGTTTTAACACACAAACACACATGCAAGGTGTTTTGTGCTGTAGTCACTAGATAATAAAAAGAATAAATAGACTATATTTACATTGCATGTTACTTGAAAGATATGGATTACTTTGCCTTACTTGGAGAAGCTGTGGGATTTGGTAAATAGTCAGCTCACTGACCCATCTAACTATTGCTTGCAACAAAGTTGACAATATTGTATTCTTCACTGCTTATACACTTGGCCCTGTTCTATGTTGAGACTGGTCTGTTTTCTGCATAAACTCAATAAAGGAGGAGTGTTTCTGTGTTTTTTGTGTGTGTTCTTTCCTGTCAAACCACCAATCAGTGATCACAGAAAGGTGTTCATCCTGTCTTGTCCTGCTTCTGGTTTCTTGGTGTGGCAAAGTAATTTTCCTCTCCACTGTCACCACATGCATGGTGAAGAGGAGGGATTACTGTGTATAAATGCAATAGATGCACAGTATCCTAAGATAACAATCTTCTTGATTGGGTTAATTAACTGAAGTAATTGCATAATATCTGTTTTGAATCTGTATATACAGTATGATTGAGTTTATTTGAGTTCTCAATAAAATTGCAATTTGTTTTCTAGTGAAATGCTTTGCGATTATGTTTTTGTGAGCTGAACTAAACTATAAGATAAATACTTACTGAACTAAATTTGTGGGTTTAAACTCTAAAACAGGAACTGCATGTGCCAAACTATATGTGCTACTGATTTGATAATTCACTCATAATGAAAAGTAAGCCATTGGTAATGATTAGTTATCAGATGCAATAATAACCCACATTTAATTTCTTCTACCTGTATCTTTGCTGGGATCATATATCACATTACATCCACAGTTGCTGATTACCAACTTTCTGCTCAGAATCATAACCAAATAAATATGGCCAAGTCTTTCCTCGCTCCACCAATTCTTCTTCTTCTTCTTTTTTTTTTTTTTTTTTAGTTTTCATTGGCTCTAGTGGCCTTTATTCGACAGATGTCAGACTAGAAAGTGGTTGTGAGAGAGGAGATAGACAGGTGGTGAGGGTAATTGGGCCAGGACTCGAACTCATGGGTGCTAAAATATAATATGAATTATTTTTTTGCCTGCGTAACCACGAGATCTTGTATTTGTCATTAAACCTTAACAAATAATGATATAGTCAGTTATTAAAAAGATATGCCCAATAATGCAGTCTTTAACACAAACTCATTTTGGAACAGAGATACAGTAATACAGAGTCAGTCACTGTCTAGCAGTGGGTTCCACTCAGCACACCTCAAGGATGACATGGAACAAAGCAAGGAATGGAGCACACATTTGCTTTGTACTCTCAATAAGGGGTATTAAGCTGTTGTTATTAGTGTTATCTTTGTGTGGCTGTTGGCAGCCTTACATGTTATGGTTATTATCATGATGCAGCAGTGTGCATAAGCAGAAAGAAGACAGAGCGGAAGGACGCAAAATTAAGCACCCATAACAGTCAGGCTAAAGTTATTTAGTGATATGGTCATTTTATTGTTGAATAACTTTTAAACTCTTTGTACAGTTTTAAGAACCCATGGTATTAAACAGAAGTGGGCCTCCAATTAAAATTTTTGTATTGGTTTGCAGACAATCTTGGGGTGGCTCTGGGTGAGTGTTGACACAGCCTGTATTTCATCTAAATACAGACTATTATTCTTCTAATATTAAGAGCTGAGTGAATTCTGGAAGCTCATAACAGAAACCAGTAACACGTAAGTGAAACTCATAAAAAAAAACGTATCCGCCTCAAATAAGTGACGCAGTAAAAAGTTCCGCCCACAACGGCCTGCCTTCTTCTCTGTGCGCGAGCCCGACAGTCCAAAGTATAAAGAAGCGCGAGCGTTATTATCAGTGGAAAAAAGTAGATTCTGTATGACCTACCGCGCGCGGATAGAAGCAAGCTTCCTACTCGCTATCTGTCGATTGTGATACAGAACTACATGTCCATCAGGATAAACGGACATCTTTCCAACTTCAGGAGTAACCATCTTAAAATGGAGTGGGAATTATGGATTTAAAGCAGAGAGGACTTGAAATGGGTGGTCTGCTGGCAGAGCTGCTGCTCTGGAATTGCCTGCTGATGGCGGTTGATGGTACGTAGAGTTTTTTTTGTTTACAGCATTGCTGTTTTTGCTGTTCTGGAGTTGTAGATCTGAACTTTGTAAGGAGATATCTGTTCTTAGTTGGGCTGCAGTGCGCTCTGCTCTCTTGCTGTGTCCCCTTAACTGGTACAGCCATACCTTGTAAGAAAGTTGAGGTTTTTGTGTCCCAAGGGTACAACACCAAGGTGGGCTACTGTCGTTCCAGTGATCCAGCCCAAACTTCACTTGGTTGTTTTTTCTCACTCTGGAAGTTGTGTTTTTGAGGAGCTAACCTGTCGTGGTACTTGGCGCGGTCGGTGGAGGACTTTCTGTCTCAGTGAATCTGAAGTTTAAAGGCAGCCTGGCTGTTTTCTCGGGCCTCTCAGCTTCCAGCCATTGCTGCTCGGTGTCGGGTGTCAGACAGCCTTTTTGCGTTAAAGATGAAAAGAACTCGGCGTGTTTATTTGGAAAAGGAAACGCTCTTAGGCACAGCAAAGATATCTCCTAGGATCTGTTCCTTTATTATCCTTTTTTCGACTGAGTCTGATTTTACTTTTCAATCAGTGAAACCGCATGCAGAGGTTAGATTTTCTTCAGATTAGATCCTTAACATTATTGTGTCAATTTTTCATTTAATTGTCGCTTGCACATTAAACTTTATCTTTACAGTTGTAATAATTGATGTATTTTAATAACTCACGCATATATAAAGTTCTAACAAGCTCTGATAGCTAAGACTGGCATTGAAGAGGTGAAGAATCCCAATAATTAATGTAGGGTTGTTTGTATGGTGGAAATTCAAGTTGAGAACGGCTCATAAGAAAAAAAAACAACCAAAATTTAGCTAATATCTATTTCCATGGGGATCTCGATAAGAACATATTTGTGTCCAAGAAACCCAGATGGAATGAAGTCATTTCCTGCATTGTGCTTTAAAACAGTTTTTTATAATCCACCTGTCAGTATGATATTATGACAGGGTGGCTGCTGGGTACTGGCTCTTTTTGGTTCAATAAACTGACAGGCAATCGGCAAATTGAGGTTTGCAGAATTGATTCACCCGTTTGTTTATATGATTTATTATAAAATGTATTAACGTTATAATCCATGCATAACGTTGGATTTCAACGTTATACATGGATTATTCTATATAATACATGGATTATTTCTATAATAACAATAAAGATTATCATTATTATTAATTTTTCTCTGATGAATATTGATTGGGATGGCAATTGTAACACAGCAAATTTGATGCTTAGTCTTTTTTGAAGCTATTTTTTGTCATTAAATATACTGATGCACATCAAAAACTCTAGAAATACCTTTGTACAGCATTACCAATAAATGCCAGGTACAGAACAAAATATGAAATTGCTTTTGCCTGAGGGAATAAATATAAGGCAAGTAGCACAACGAGTCAGAAAAATAAATCTAAATTGTTTTGCCCACTTAACTGTCACCAAACACTTCCATCAATGAGAAAACCAGTGACCTCCTGACAGTTAAGGGGATTATTAAACAAAGAAAGCTGACTGTCTCTGTGCTTTAATTGCATAAAAATTTTGAAAGCAATAATTTGTTGTAGAAGTAGCATAGAAAGCGTACACTGCAGTTCATATTGATGTGACTTATGCTTTGTTGCTGTTAATTTCTGCAGGCTTATGTAGATTTAAATGCAAATGGTAGACAGTCTGAGCCTCATCAGTTCATATGTGCTTGGAAATGTGAAGAGCTGCTGAGTTTGATTAGTCTTAAATTATATTTGGTGTTTGATTTAGCAGCAAAGCTTCTCCAAAAACCTCACTGAAAGGCAGTAAAATTGTGCTTGTGTATGCCTTGTTTCATTTGGTAATCCACCTTTCTTTATGTACATAAATTACAGCCTGTCCAACAAATAACAAAAAACAAGCAGTTGAAATAAGTCAAATAATTTGATTCAATTTAAATATATAATCTTCTCTACAATTGAAGCGTGACTGATATTGTTGCAAACAATTATCCTAAATTAGAATATAACTTGTCAAACCTTTGTGTGAAAGATGTTCTTGGTGTTTTCAATTCAAAATATAGACCTTATAATTATAAAACCTGCCATCTGATACCACACTGATTTGACCTTTTTAGCTTTTTGTTGAGGTTTTAAACCCCATTAAACATAAATCACATAAATCATACATCACTTATGCTCATTTAATTCATAAGATTAATTATCTACTGCAGTTTCCATGACAGAAGTAGTCTTTTCGAGCATATTGGAAATTGATTTGACAGCAATGTATTCCATATATATATATATATATATATATATATATATATATATATATATATATATATATATATATATATATATATATATATATATATATAATATATGCACACACACATTGGTCAGTGGTATTATTGGCCCTTACTTGGGCCAAATACATTGAACTGAAGCTAATATCATATAATATATGATTATAATATCATTAACATTTTCCATCCATAAACATATGTCTTCACCTCTGTTTTCTGTGAATAGTCATCTGCATAACACAATGCTGAAAAGTGCAAACTATGTCTTTGTAAATAATCCCTGGGAATCGTTGTATAGCTGTGAAAGCATCCAGTCATAACAGATTTTGAGTTGTTTTGGGAACAGACTTGTTCCCAAATGTCACTCATTCTGCTTCACACTGGTGAAGAGACATATAATGCATAATATGACTGATGTAAAACCTGAAACTGGGAGGACCAGTTTATGCTTGTAGATGCTCCTGCAAGGGGGAATGGGGCATATTGACTGAAAGAAAGGAGATTTCCTTCACGCTTTCCCAACTGGGACCAGTAAATATGTTAGCATATTTCAGTTTATGTGTGATCTGAACTTGGAGAAATCAAAGCAGACTGTCATAGGCTTCCTTTTGTCATATGACCATCTGTGTTAGCTTACATGTGTACATGACTTCACATCTGTGACTTTTCCCCCCCTTTTGCCTCTTATGTTTTGCTTATGTCTGCCTCAGATTCACACTAAAGCAACAGACATATAAGGCAATATAGACACATAATCATTTTCTTCATCATTAATTTTTCGAAACTTATGCAAATACAGAACAAAATTCACATATTTGAACTGTTTGGGTCACCTGCTTTTCAATTTTCAATCACAGTTCTAACAATTGAAGACTGAATTTTACATTAGTTCCTAAATGATGAACCATTTTTCTTTCTTGTCATTGGATTATAATGATACAGTTCTTCAGTGCTGTAGCAAATAGTAAAATATTATAAATTAATAAAAATGTTGAAGAAAGTTGTGGTGAAAAGTAACTTGCTAGACTTGGCTGGATTTCAACAATTTTCATAATAACTAGGGGTGCACCGATTGCAGTTTTGCCAATTACTGATCAGCAAAACTACAATTGGTATTTGCCAAAACTGATTCCGGTTTTTTGTCTGAAATGTTGCCAACTCAAGAAAGTTGTTGAGTTGGCAACAGTGGGGTAATTATTGTTAATTGTAAATGTGCAGACATAAGTTGGAGGGCCAGTACCCAAACCCTATTTTTATTGCTGACAACTGACTAAACCTTTATTATTTTTTCCATCAAGCCTAAATTTGCAAACTGAAGTCTTTCTTTTATGAAGACAAATATGCAAAACTCCTTTTTAGGTTTTGAATCTACAGTAATGCAAAGTTCCTTTTTATGCAAACATCAGACTGCTTTATTTTATTTAATTAAAATATTAATTTGCTTAGATTATTGTCCTGTGTTATAGCAAGCTTTTTAAGTATACACTTTCAAGCTTTGTGAAGGTGAAGGCCCTATGTTTAACCAGATTTTGTTTTTGTTTTTATCCTTGAAAAAATAGTGTAGAGTTGTGCTTTATGAAAGGTTATTTCTGTTTACACAGATTGCATAGATCCGCCATAAAATCCCATGCTTCCAAATGGCCAAAGGTCATGGTTAGTGTTTAATGATAGTTCCCTGACAGGATTCTTTTTATACATCAGTTCTTTCCACAGATTTTCATTTGGATTCAAGTCAAGTGATAAAGTAGCTCATTCTAGCGGTTTACTTTCTTTCTCTGAAATAGAGTAAGAGTTTCCCCGACTTTGTATTTAGAACACTTCTCTTGCTCATTTCATCATTAGATTGCTATCAAGAATTCCCTAGTATATTTCTCCATTCATTTTTCTTTCAATCATATAAAGTCAGTACAATATGCTGTAAGACAACCCAAACACTGATCTTCCCTCTTTTGTCATGGTGCTTTGAGGTTGTATGGAAAACCAATGTTGACCTCATCTGACAAGACTTCATACGAAATAGCATGTTAATGGATTGTCAAAACTTTATGCAGAAAAGGTCAATCAAGCATCAACATGTAATTTCTTCAACAGTGGAGTCTTCTACTGTAAATATCAAGAGATTTGCAGTTGATTACTTCACTTGTTTTCATTGAAAACACTGGAGCTGCTGTTTCCAGCTCTTTATGAAATTCTGTCAGAGCTTCTTAAACAACTCTGATTATTTATTTGCCTTTAGCCTATTGTTGCTTTATCATGGTGAAATGATGATCTGGATTATGGCTTCAACATTGGTCAGAGGTTTAAAATATATGGATTAGTTGCCTGTATTTTTCTAGTATGGAAATAACCAATCCCTCTACATGTCACTTTGTACACAGAGTCCAGACCTTTGACTTTTGAGAAACGTCTGCTTGCTGGAGGCATAAAGTCTAACATTTTACAAAATCTTACACAGTGAATAACTAGTAGGATGAGTTCTCTGCACTAATCAGTTTGTCTGCTTTTCTCACAGCTGCTTAACTCCACACTTTGACTTTTTCTTTTATTAATTTATCTAAATGTCACATAAAGTAAGTACAACTCACTGCTGAATCTCTCAGATAGACATGTGACCAATATGCTCTTGTTGTCGTCTGTAGCCATATTTCAAATAGACGTCACGTCGTCACATGTTGAGAACAGTTTTATCTGTCTGAGAATCTCCTTTTTCCCTTAGACATGAGTTATTGTCTTTGGTTGTGTTCTAGTGTAGCAGGAGACATACATGCTTGTGTGTAGTGATGTTGGCACACTGCCATGCTGACACCACAAGCTGCAGCTGAAGTGGACCCAGCAGAAAGAGGTCAACCTCTCCGAGTTCCTGTACTAAACTAATGCTGACAAAAAGTTTAGACTCTGGAATCATCATCGTCAATATGATTTATGATGTTCTTTAATTTCAATTTCAAATCAGTTCAGTTAATTTATGTGGCACCAATTAACAACAATTATTGTCAGAAGAAACATCACAAAAAATCTTCTCAATTCAGCCATACATTCCAATTGATCCTTGTTATCAAACATTACAGTAAGTTTAGTTTATTATCCAAAATAGTTTAGAAAGTTTCCATCTAAGGAAACCCAGCAGAGCACCGAGTCATTGACTTGCAGGATTCCCTCCTCCTGGACAAGCAATCACTTGCATTTTATCGTTGACTTTACAGTGAACCAGAACACGGATCAGCCACCTGCCACTAGGTTTGAGAAGACAGAACAGATACACAAAAAATAACAAAAGAACCGATCATTTTTGATGTTCCAGAAAGTAAAAAGTGAATTGCTGAAGAGGGAGAACATTTAGTTGGCAACAGCATCATCTCAGCTGATGATCTCCTGCAGGAATGAATCACATCCAACCTGAACACTCGACCAGGTGTAGCTTCTGCGGAGAGAAAAACTGAGAGAAAACAAAACGCTAACAGTTGAAATAAAAGCAAATAATGCAAATCAGAGAGTAGTAGAAAAGTGATAAAAATTGGCGAGACATTTTTGTTTGATACTTAGCTATTATTTTGCCTTCCTAAATCATTTCAGGTTATTTGGTGTGTTGGAAGTATGTTGGAATAGTTTGCGTGCATTAATGATCTACTTCACCTTTGACCTTTGATCCTTAAACGATCAACTGAAAAGTTTAGTGATGTAATATCACAGAATTTGTTCAGTAAAATCTTGTTGTGTTCTTCTATGGAAACTCGTTAGAGTAAGGCCAAAGCAGAAACGTCTGAAAGAACGACAATCAAGTTGTTTGAATATGTATCACTTTGATTACAACTTAACTTTCAGTTGTATTACAATCTTGGAAAGGCCTGATATGAGACTCTCAGTGTGACAGCATCAAGTAAAATCATCTCTATTTAGTGGTACAGGGTTAGGGTTTGGGTACACATATTTTTATAAGTATTTATTATAACAGTTATTCTAACATTATCAATCTTTGTAATAGATTATTATTTTGATTTTGACAAACAGACTTAACCAAAAGCATAAAATAAACAGACACTTTATTTTGTGGGTTAATGTGCAGTTTATAATACATTCTAGTTGATTATACAATAATCCTGGGAGTTTATTAAGCTGGTTAGTTAGTCTGACTATCTGCTCAGGTCAGCTGCCTCTCAGACATCCCTGGTTCTTTCCCATGTTGCATTCTACAGCGTCACCGAAATGAAAGTGACAGGTGCTCCTTTCATTTCTACACCATCACATATATCACCAAAATGTTTCCTAAACAGCTTCACAGTGATGTTTGGATAAACCTGATGATACATACACACACACACACACACACACACACACACACACACACACACCACACACACACACACACACACACACACACACACACACACACACACACACACACACACACAAAAAGATAAAGGTGTGGCGGATGGTGTGCTTTTTCATCTTTCAAACAATAACCATTTTGTTAAAAAGACTTTGACCAAAAAGAATAATGTAACCTAAAGGGTAGCATTTATATTATTAGTATATTTTAAAAGTCGGTTTAAAGCACTTTTGTTATTTCTTGGGTTGCACAATGTCAGGAAATGTGAAATTGCAAAATTACAGTTGAATATTGCATTGACCAACAAACCAGATATGTATTGTTGGCAGACAGAATTTGTAAAGCACTTAATATAAGATTTCCTACAACAGTAAATATCAGATCCAAGCTGTTCTTTACAATTGTGATATTGCAGAAACTGATTACAATTACAATTCATCACATTGTTAACTCAGTTCTAATCTTTTCATTTTCTAGGTTTAGGCACAATCACATTGAGTTAGTCATGTCTAGCAGTTGACCAGTAATGAAAAATAAGATTAAATAAAAACCCTGCTTACACTGAGCAGCCTTTTCATACAACATTTTAGAATAGTTTTGTCTCTTAGCTGACCTGATAATTTTGTCCTTTTCAGGCTCCCCCCTCCTTCTCTTTGCCAACAGACGAGACGTGAGATTGGTTGATGGTGATGGTGTGCGAGGCGCATCAGCCATTGTTGTCAGCGAACTTGAAGATGCAGCTGCAGTGGACTTCCTGTTTGATGAGAGCCTGATCTTTTGGACTGACGTCAGTGAGGAGGCCATCAAACAAACCCACTGGAATCGGTCGTCCAACTGTAAGGCACTGGTTGTGTTTTTACCGGTTCAGACAAACATTCTCATGTCAGCACATTCTCTCTGAAGCCTTGGAGCAGGACAACAGGTGTCACAGTGTTCTTTGCCCACTTGAGATGCATTCTTTTTTCAAACCATAATCTATTCATTTCATTTTGGGTAATTTTAATGTTTCAAATAAAAATTTGTCATTTTCTCATTTTTTGTTTGCTAAAGTCTGATCCTTCTTTTCTTGTTCTGAAAGAACTACATCTAAAAAGCTTCTAATTATTAAGCAAATATTTTCCAAACCAGACCCACTGGTTTTCCTCGTGTTCACTTGAAAAACATTTTATCTTTATAATAATTCATAATTCTGCCATAATATTCATAAACTCAAATTAGTGAGATGTACAACCTTCAAGAACTGCTTAGAACATTATGACAGTATTTTTTACTTCCAGAAAAGAATAAGTTAAACTTGAGCTTACATGTCAACATTTAATATAAATGTGTAATGTGCCTCCAGACTGTTCAGTAACAAATTTGTAAAAAAAAAAAAATTGTGTTGATCTGTAATACTTTTTACTGTTATTTATATTGTAATAAGAGTAAATTAAAGTAAAGGTTAATTTACTAATTTCTGTATACCTGCTAACGTGCTAAATGAAAGCATATTTGTTTTTTAAACCAGGAGAGTTTGATCCAAAATGATCACAGATCAAGTTGAAAATCGTCCCCCAGTAACTTCTACTTCCTGTTCTGTGGAGTAGATGTCTTTGATTCAACTGGAAATGTATTATCACGTGGTAAAATTGTCCCTCAGAGTGTGTTGTTCTTGCAGCTCTTAAGGAGGCTTTGGGAACTGGCCAAGCAGTGGTCGTGTCTGGGCTGAGCAGTCCTGATGGGTTAGCCTGTGACTGGCTGGGGAAGAAGCTCTACTGGACAGACTCAGAGACCAATCGGATTGAAGTCGCCAACCTGGACGGCACCTCCAGGAAAGTCCTAGTTTGGATGGACTTGGACCAACCCAGGGCTATTGCCCTTAATCCTGGACTAAGGTAATGAATTAAATCATAATGTCGAGGTGGCGGAGGTGGTAAGAGTTTGTCCCTAAATCTGTGGGTTGCTGGTTTGAATACCCACTCCTTCTGCCTCTGTTGTTGTTTTGCCTAAGACACTTAATCTGTTTTGCTTGCTGCTGGTGGTCAGAGCATGTAGAGTGAAGTACTTTGGAGTCCTCTGGATTTGCTGAAACAATATGCAGTTACATACAATTTACTATTTTAAACCCCATAAAGCAATGCACACACATTCTACTGGAGGCTGCTGTGGCAATGTCAGAAGGTGTCAGTAGATGTTTGTTCAGAAACCTTTTTCAGAACCCTTTTCTGTGGGACACTTCCTGGAGGAAGTTTTTCTGTGACTCTGTTTTTGCTGACTTGCTTATTTTTTGTCAAAATGTAATAAGCTTCTGCACTGCATCGGTCTTTTATTGAAAAAGAATATGAGTATGTTTTGAATATACTGCTTTCAACATATTCCAATATGTTGAAAATGTTCTTCATTCAACTTCTGTCAATAGATAACATGTTATTATCTAACTTGTTAAGCCCGGTGGTTAATGCTCCGAGGCGGTTTACTGTGTTTTTTGTTTTAAAAGGCGTTAAGTTGATAGGAAATGTAAAAACATTTTTTCAGTGATTTTTACTTTGTGTCATGGTCAGGGTCAGGGCATGAAGCAATTGGGTTATTTTATAAACTTGTACCTTTGCCACATTTACCAGGTCGAGAGTTCTTGCTGCTGCTATTCACAGGAACTCAAATCCTGCTGTCAAAACATTATTTAAAAAACATAGATATCATTGCGCGATTTTACAACTTTGTGTGACATTTTTATGCACTCTCTGTTTGCTGCTCAGAGTGTGTGTCACCTTTGTGTGAGATCATGTTTCAGCATTGATGACAGCATATAAAGCGCATGTGTTTAGCCAGCTCTTGTAAAGTTTGGTGTTTCACAAGAAAGCTAGAAGTAGAGGAGTTCACAGTTAATATTATTAACTATGAACACGTATCATGTATCAACACAATTACTACGTGCCGTGATCTCCTTGAGGGAGGGTGGGCTATTCTGTTGGGAGGGGAAAGCACCCCACCCCTCTTGGAGAATGGCAGAATAAATAAATAAATTGTTATTATCTCTGATTTCCAATCAGAGAAAATTAAAACATTTTATTAGTTAACACTTAAAGAAAAGCAGTTGCGGATATAAAATAAAGGTATGGTGGACGTCATTATGTAACTGTATATTACCAAGTTATTAAACTGTTTTCTTCCAGATACATGTATTGGACAGACTGGGGAGAGGAGCCTCGGATAGAATGCGCTGGCATGGATGGCAGCAGCAGGTACTGTAAAGTATAGAATAACAGGCAGATCTGGGCCTGCATGCTGGGATTTAAATTTAAATGTACAAGATCTCTGTGTGCACTCCTCTCAGAGGTAGTCCTAGCCTGTTTGGTGCCTTGGGTGAACCCCCTTTCCAGCTCTCGCCCCCTTCCCCTCCAAGAAGTTGTCAACAGCGGTGGGGGGGCGCATGTTGCCCAAACCAGAAACGGCCACTGACTCCTCTCATTTTGGTCCTGCACTCTTATGCTGACCAGTCTGAGTCCTGACAGATCCAGACTATTGATTGTAGAGCAAGCTAGAGAACACATACATGTAAATAACTTATGCATGTAAATAACAAACTTGCTTGCACTGGTGAAATTGACCAAACTGAAGCTAGAATGTTGGACATCACATCACTTAGACAAAGATGATGTCTAAATGACCAAGCCGAAAGGCAAATAAAATGCATTTACATACAAATATACTCCGCAAATGTATGAAAATAAGCTAAGGACACTAACTTTGCTTGTGCTCTGTTGTCTCCTGACAGGAAAGTCATAGTGAATAAGAACATACACTGGCCCAATGGTCTCACCATAGACCTGGTGGAGGAGAAGTTGTACTGGGCAGATGCCAAGCTCAGCTTCATTCACAGAGCCAACCTGGATGGCTCTGCACGGTACGCTTTATGTAACTTAAGGCTAGATGAAAATGAAAGTCTCAGTAGTTAAATTCAGATATCTGAATTATCACCAGATGTTTTAACATGCAAATGAGTGGGGTGAGTGTTTAAAGATAAAATTATCAGTGTTTTTTTGTTTATTAATGACTGAACTAATTTGACTTGATCTATTAATTTTTCAAACTCCTAATCAGTGAATACTATATCTATATTAAACATATCTGTATTATTATGGAATATTATATCTATTACATCATCTTATGATGTCTTTGTCTTGTCATAAAGATACCCAGAGTGTTGCTTTGACTCGTTGATGCGTATTTGAAAAATTATTTTCTTCGATGTGTCCAGTACTTAGTCAGACCTCTTAGAGATCCCAGTATCTATTTAGAACAGTAGGTAATTGGGCCACGAGAATAGCTCATAAGACAAGATATTTGGTTCATAATTATTAGAAGAAACCAACATTTTATAAGATTTTGGGAAACGTAAGAATTCTGTTTCATTGACATATAAAAAAAGTTTTTTAATTAACACAATCAAAGAATGTGTAATTAATGTGTCATCTAGTACAAGTTTGACTTTCCCATACTGAAGGCTGTATATCAATATAGTTAATGAATTTGGATACCTTAGAACAATCCAATTTGAAGGTTGTCCTAAAGACAAGAAAACATTTAAAATTTGCCCTTTTGGGTTTTCATAAATAGAATAAAAGTTTTAATTATATAAATCCGTGTTTTAATGAATCTGTGTTTCATCTAAAATAATTTAAGTCAGTTTTTATCAGTTGACGTAGATTAGATGTTCAACCAGAGATAAATAAATGAAGTTCTATGAGATTAAAGTGGAAACAGCCCCTTAGTATAGCACAGAAATGGAGCTCCGATGAACTTCACTAGTCTTTTTCATAAAACATTTTCATCTCAAATCTTAAAAGACAATCTAAGTCACAACTAGCCAATAATCTCAAGTGGAGTTGGTGATATCCCTCACAGCCGAGGCATATAAGTAAATACTGTCGGGAGCTGATTCCACAAAATATACACTATATTGTGAAAGTATTTGCTCACCCATCCAAATGATCAAAATCAGGTGTTCCATGGCCACATGGTGTATAAAATGAAGCACCTAGGCATCAGACTGTTTTTATAAACATTTGTCAAAGAGTGGTTCGCTCTCAGGAGCTCAGTAAATTCCAGTGTGAAACTGTGATGGGATGCCACCTGTACAACAAATCCAGTTGTTCACAGTTGTAAAATTTTCTCGTTCCTAAATATTCCACAGTCAAATGTCAGCTTTATTATAAGAAAATGGAAGTGTTTGGGAAAAAGAGCAACGCAGCTATGAAGTGGTAGGCCACGTAAACTAACGGAGCGCGGTGAGTGAATGCTGAAGCATATAGTGCGAAGAGGTCGGCAACCCTCTGCAGATTCAATCACCACAGACTTCCAAACTTTATGTAACCGTCAGAACAGTGTTCAGAGAGCTTCATGGAATGAGTTTCCTTGGTGGAGCAGGTGCATCCAAGCCAAACATCACCAAGTGCATTGCAAAGTGTTGGATGCAGTGGTGTAAAGCATGTCGCCACTGGATTTTAAAGCAATGGAGGCATTCTTTGGAGTGATGAATTGCACTTCTTCATCTGGCAATTTGATGGATGAGTCTGGGTTTGGTGATTTCCAGGACAACGGTACGTGTCTGACTGCATTGTGCCAAGTGTAAAGTTTGGTGGAGGGGGGATTATGGTGCGAGGTTGTTATTCAGGAGCTTGGCTTGGCCCCTTAGTTCCAGTGAAAGGAACTCTGAATAGTTCAGCATACCAAGACATTTTGGATAATTCCATGCTCTCAACTTTGTGGGAACAGTTTGGAGCTGGCCTCTTCCTCTTACAACATGACTGTTGTAAGAGGAAGAAATGGATGTGTGGTGTGGATGAAAGAGTCCTGACCTCAACCTGAGAGAAAATCTTTGGAGTGAATTAGAGCAGATACTGAGAGCCAGGCCTTTTTGTCCAACATCAGTATCTGACCTCACTATGCACTTCTGGTAGAATGGTAAACACTGCTAAACCTTGTGGACAACCTTCACAGAAGAGTTGAAGCTGATCTAGCAGCAAAGGGTGGACCAATGTCATATTGAACTCTGTGGATCAGGAATGGGATGTCACTTAAACTCATATGTGAGTCAAGGTAGGTGAGCAAATACTTTTGGCAATATAGTGTACATCACCACCACATCAGTCCTTCTACTCTGGAAGTGGTTTCAATTTAAAAAATATCTATATACACCTAACATTTATTCCAATCATCAAATAAGTACTTGTCTTATAAAACCTGTATACATTGAATTTATTATTTAATTTACTGTTAAAATGTCACCAAACAATTTATTTAAGCTGAATGACTAAATTATTGTCAATTTTTGGACTACATTTGGTAGAGTTGTTTGGGTGGAAGGTTGGCATGGATTATTTCAATTCCCTTTATTTTTATTGGACAAACTTGTTTTCACATAGAGATACACATCTAGATGCAAAAGACCTATTCCTACAGATTGAGTTTGCATACAGAGCTTTTGCTGCACTTGTAATACAATTCCATTTGGTTAATTCAGTTCATACAAGTTCATTCTAATAAAATCCAGCCAGAGAAGATTCAACCTAAATTATGGCTGCTTTCAACAGTGAGCTACTCTTGCATTACTCATGTTTGAAGCTGTTGTAATATGGGACAACGTTATAGTCTTCTGTGTAGTACGCTGTGTTCTGAGGGTTTTCTCATGGTGCTATCTCAGCATGCTGGGCAAAATTACCTTGTGCATTTGGTTTAAAAGATGAATTGCAAGATATACAGTTTTTATGGCTTAAAAACTTAAATTCCAGCAAGACAAAATTTAATATTCCTCTGTGAGCTGCTTTTTTTTTTTAAATAGTGGTAATGGAGTAAGAAACAGAATAGCTATACTGACAGATTTAAAGAAAAATAAGGAAGAGTCCAAGACAAACAGAGCTGTGGAATGAAGGCCTCAGTTAAAACCAACACAGCTCCACACACTCATCTCTGGCTTTAGTTTTCTTTCTCCAGTGCATCGTTCACATCTGTTTTTCTAAATCTTGACATATTTCTCTATCTCTCTTCACCAAATTAATAAGATCAATGATGCCACGGCATATCAAAGCACATATTTTTACTGAGGTCATCAGTTTTCAAATAAGAAAATGAAAACAGTGAAAATTTAGGCTTGCTTTGATCTGTTGCAATCAGGTAAGATTTCCATATCTTGCCTGGAACCTTTGTTATTTGCTTGGCATAAATTATTCACTATCTGTTTTCGCCTTTTATGTGATTTCTCTGCTGTCAGTAAAAAGGCATACATGCAAAAAAAAAAATCTCCTACACTTAAGGCTTTGATTCCTTTTTGAAGTCTTTAATGTCTTTATACTGCAGAGGCAGGAATAAGGCATCTGTTCTGTGGAACTGATTTCTGCCTGTTTATGATGTTGGAATGTGGTCGAGGTGTTTTGAGTCCAAACCAATATATTGGAGCTGTCTGACCAAGTTAGCCTCTGTTCCTTTAGAGGCACAGCAGTAGTTCCACAACCACTGTTTATACTGTTAGTGAGCAATAGCAAGTTCTGGTTACAGAAAATCGTGTTGCTCAAATCTGGGCTTTCTGGCCTTTATGGCAGCATCAGCATTTTCTGCATAGCAACAAAACATATTTTGGAGTGATGGTACATAGTTGATTTTGCATAGCTTCAACTTTCTTGTTTAGCTACTTATTACTTTTTTCTATTACTGTGTACTTTCTCATTAATGGTGGACTTTTAGTTCTACTGACAGGGAAACATAAATCCACTTGTAATGTTATTGCATTATTGCTTTCACGACATAGTTATTCTAAAAATGAAATATATCTACTTTCAGTTCTACTGTTTTATGTACTGTGATATAAGATTTGATCTTTATCCGTCCAAGAATTATTTAAATCTAATATAAATACTAGAGATTCAACACCATCATTATGAGACATCATTTATGAGACTTTGTGGTTTGACAGAGCACAATTCTGCTTGTATTAGCTAACTATTAGCCAGGTTCATCACCCAGCATCAAGAAGTGTGACAACTTCTGTTATTACCAGGGTTGTGATGATGAATTAAGCTTATAAATGAAGTAATCACTGTTATTGGGGTCATAACAAGGAGACAAGATAACATTTTAGAAATACAAACAATCCCTGTTGTTTTGTTTCCATAAAGTAAAGGTTTCATGAATATCAAATACAGCAAACTTGGGACATAAGATAGTGTTGAAAATTAAAAAATAAATAAATAAAAGAAAATAAAACTAAGAACAAAAGCTTATAATAAAAGAAAAATCAATACAGATAAGAACACAAACCATAAATCGGGGGTGGGGAGGATGGAAGAGATGGCAAGGGAACCGACGGGAAAAATAATGGGTGTAGACAAGAAGAAAAGTAGCAAGAAGTGACTGAGAATAAGGTGCTTAAGTACTGGGAGGTAGTCTTGCTGGATAAAAGACCTGGGCTAATGAGCTAACGGGTTGCAGGTGTGAAGGGAGAGAGCAGAAGGTGGGCTGAGGAGTGAGAGAGAGGAAGAGGAAGTGACACATGGGTTGATGGAGCGTACATTGGGGACTAGGAAATAAATCTAACAAAATAACTAGACATAAGAAACAATAAAAATTTGATTAACTTAGAAAAAAACTAGACACAAGAAATAAACATAGCTAGAGTCACTAAGACGCTGAAGTAAAAATAGAAACAAGACAGAACTAAAAGAAAAACTAAGGAAAACAACATAAAAAACATTCCACAAACCAACTCAGAATCTTAACATCTGTAGAGATTTTTATTCTCCAAATTAAGGAAATGTTTCCATATTTCTAAGTAGTTTAGGTAGACTCCCCCACAACAATTTCTGTTGTCAAGTGTTTTTCTTTTTTTTTTCATCTTACAGAGAAGCAGTGGTGGAGGGCACCCTGACCCATCCTTTTGCACTAACCTTGTCTAAAGAGACGTTATATTGGACTGACTGGCAGACTCGCTCCATCCATGCCTGTAACAAACACAGTGGAGATAAAATCAGAGAGATCCTCGATGGGATTTATTCTCCAATGGACATCCAGGTTCTGGAGTCTTATCGACAGCCTTACAGTAAGTGGAATGCTATACCTATGGATAACATTAGGAAGAAAAGACAGCTGTTGTGGTTGGTCTGGTTGTTAGCAGTATAGGATTGAGGACTGAAGCAGTTTTTCTAACACAAAATTAATGTTTATATTTGAATTTTGTACGAAGTCAGGTCGGAGAATGTCTGTTATTTTTAAGTAAAGTTAAACACTCTCTTTAAAACCAAACCAGAAACGTCCCTACTTTTTATTTTTGGTGAGTCAAGAGCCTGCTCCTCAGAAACTTTTCTGACATTCAGTTTTCTGGAACTAATTAGCCGTGACCTGTAGTGTTATTGGTCTGGATTATTAGATTTTTCTTTGGACATAAACGATATCTTGAAATTCTGATGAAACCTAAAGGTTTTCCAGATTTTTAACAAAAAACAATAGAAGTTCATCATTTGTCTATTAATGACTATTCACATTATAAAAAAAACATATTGCACCCTAGTTTATATATTCTCATTATCAAGCCTAATATTTCTTAGTCGTTAATTTCTGTGTTTTCTTTTGTTTCTTTTATTTCAGTTCAGACCCCGTGCAGCAACGATAACGGAGGCTGCAGTCACCTCTGCCTGCTCTCTCCGCTCCAGCCTTTCTACAGCTGCGCCTGTCCCACGGGAGTCCAGCTTAAAGCAGATGGAAAGACATGCAAGCCAGGTATGTGTCTGACGTCCATTAGTACAAACCTACACTGCAAGTCCACTCACTTCAGTAGTAAGTTTGGTAACTGCATTTTAAAAAGTGGTTGCTACAGATATGGTAGTGGCAATGAATGCATTATGTGTAAAAAAGATAACAGGATTACAAGAGCAAAAAATATTTATATACACGATAGTAATCAGATAAATCTTCAAAAGTGCAGTTTGACTAAAACTTATTAGATCTGTGTTTCCTAAAACATTCAGGAAAAAAATGAGGAATGGGGAAGAATGGATAAAATTATGTTGATAAGAGCTAACTGGCTCATTGACTCTGGAGTAGTTTCACAGTGAGGGATGATAAAGACTGAAGGAGTATGAAGAAGAGGTTTGGAGGATGATCAACAATGAGGATAGTTGATCCTCATTTGGGAGGGAATATTCCAAGAGTGTTTGGAGGGCCCTGTTCATTTCTCGTTCATTTGATTGCATAACTAATGGTTTATCCAACAATCTGCAAGATTTTAGTCCTTTACAGTGATGCTGATTCTGCCTCGGTCCTGGGTGACATGTTTGGCTGAGGCTCATCCGACCGCCGTGTGGGAGAGACCTGAGCACAGTGCTGCTCAAACTCTGGACTGCTGGATAGAAACACAGTTAGGCCTGTTTGGGAGCAGAGAAGGTTCTCCTGCTGTAACTCCTGTGGGGATAAAGTGGTATTTGAACAGGAACACCTTCCTGAATGCCATCGCTGATGATGGGTTGTTTCTGTGCAGTTCTGTAGCTCTGTAGAATTGTTTGCAAGTTAAGCTCCAGGATAAAAATTAAACGCGACAGGTTTGCAAACAGTGTATATCATGGTGTCATTCAGAAATAAGCATGCTGATGATGGCTTTTGTCAGCTTTTTTACACTGGTTCAATATTTTTCTGTGATTTTAAGTGTATGTTAGCATGGTCTGACCCAAAGCAGCATATTTTTATCTTTTCAGTTTTAGAAAAGAAAATGACTGAAGGATTGTCTATTGAGACTATGTTTGTAGTTTGTGCCTCTTCTACAGCTCTAACAGAGTGTGTGTTTGTGTCATCTGGCTCCCAAACTTATTTTAACATAAAAACTTTATAATGAAATAGTTGAAAAGCTCTGGGAATTAATTATTCTTCTTTGAAAGAATCAAAATGATTTTAGCTGTAGGTGGATATGACTGAAATAATCAGTGTGTCTGTGTGTGGTACTGCTGAACTGAAAAGTGTCTTTGATGTTGGAGTGTGATGTGACACTGGGACCATCATCCTGAAAATCTGTACAGAGACATCTCAGAAGACACATAGAATCTCTAACTGACCAGCTGCCATATTGATTCCCACGATGTTAAAACAATGGAGCCTTATTATACAAAAAGTAAATACTGAAAAAAGGTTTGTGTGTGTGCCTCTGAGGCTAGACAATAAATCTGAATGAGGCATGCCAACCAATCGCCTGGCCACTGTTGACAATAAAAACAACAATGCTTTATTGTGTAAGCCTGCAGTTTGGGTGAACGTCTGTTGCGTATGTGCCTCTAATTTGTTTTGCTTGGCTGGTTAAATTGAAGTGTTTGTTATTGTTCTGGAAGTAGAGATGGAGAGTGTGTGTGGGTGTGCATGCGTGTGTATTTGTGTTTATTTGACTCTTAGTCAGTGGTCTTGAAGGGTCTTAAAAGGAAGTGAAGCGAAAATGAGAGCTGAAGTTCAGATGCTTTTCCTCCTCTATTCACCGTCTCCCTTGATATTTCCTGTTTGATTTTCCTCATTTAGGCCGGATCGTTTACCTCTCTGTGTGAAATGTGATTGGGATCTTGTTGGCCTTCATTTAATTAGTTATGAAAGGCCAGTCAGAACAAGAAAAATCCCTTAATTTGCAGGAATACTGTGGCTCAGAGCTATTTAATGTCGTGTAGACAGACACAGAGTGGTTTGAACAGAAGAATGTAAAACTGTGTAAGGTTTTCAGGGTAAGTGACAACTACAAGCATGTGATCAAGGTGCAGTTTGAAGTAACAGGGTGTTTTGACAGAATCTGAAATCCACAATAAATTCAAACTTGCCTCCAGAGGTCTGCTTTCTAAAATGCATTTCAAAACAGACTTTCTACATTTTATGTCTTATTATTATTGTCACTGTTAATAATTAAGACTTATTGCCAATTTAAAGACTTAACTTGTTAAACTATCAAAATAATTAAAAAACAAATGTAATGTAGGGGTGACTGCACTGAATGAGCTGGTCACATATTGATGGTCCTCAACATTAAGATGGATTGTATTTTGATCAGGTGCAGAGCAGGTTTTGCTGCTGGCAAGAAGGACAGACCTAAGGAGAATCTCACTTGATCTGCCAGATTTCACTGACATAGTGCTACAGGTGAATACACTCACACACACACACAACAACAATACTGTTGGACTTTGTTGTAAGAATGAGGCTCTTAGGTTTTCATCACTCTTCTCATGCAGGTTCATGACATTCGACATGCTATAGCTATAGACTATGACCCAGTTGAAGGTTTTGTCTACTGGACAGATGATGAGGTTCGGGCCATACGACGATCTTACATTGATGGCAGCAATGCCATGGTACTGGTTACCATGGATATCAACCACCCAGATGGCATTGCTGTTGACTGGGTGGCCAGAAACCTTTACTGGACTGACACTGGCACTGATCGGATTGAGGTATAGAACTATTTCTTATCACTGTTCTTTACAACTAGACAGAGATGACTCTTCATGTGACAGTAAACATGTCATTGCATTTCTTTTTATTATTGCTATGTGCTGTTTTAGGTTACCAGACTAAATGGAACTTCACGAAAAATTTTGATTTCGGAGGACCTGGAGGAACCCAGAGCCATTGTTCTGGATCCTGTTAATGGGTAGGTGTTGTTTGTCTGAATTTGTCATAGCTGAATCTCTCTATCTTTATTTAAGTAAAACAGCTTTGATTTGATCCCTTTTAAAAATAATTCCGAATCCTAACACTAAAAGTTCCTGAAAAAATGCCATTCATTGCCTGTTGAAGCAGATTTAAAATACACTAACAAGATTAATGACAGAAATAAGTCAGTAAAATAAAATAAAAAACGTGGCTTTCTTGGTTGCATGTTTGCTGATAACTTTAACTGATGTCTGTTTTCTCACATTGACTCATTTTTTTTCCCAGTTTTATGTACTGGACTGATTGGGGTCAGTATCCTAAGATTGAGAGAGCAAACCTGGATGGAACAGCCCGGGTGGTTCTGCTCAACAGCTCTCTTGGCTGGCCTAATGGATTAGCCATAGACTACACAGCAGGGAAGCTTTACTGGGGAGACGCTAAAACTGACAAGATAGAGGTAAGTCCATCAGCATGTAGCCTCTTTCAGTTGCTTGGCTGGTCAAGAAATATAGTTCAAGTTCGTCACTCAGATATACTGCAGTGATTTGCTGCTGTCAGACTACTGCACACTCAAAATTGCAAATACCCTTCACAGCAGGCGTTGAGTATATTAGTGTACTGCTGGGCCACAGCGATCAGGAACCAACTACTGTGGCTGAGCTGAGAAAAGTAATTGTCTGGCACTTGAGAAGATTCAAGATCAAATGCAGCTGTCCCTGGTAAATGCCCTCGGGCAAGCACTGAAGTTTGCACTGACAATTGATTTGTGAAAGTCTTGTGGTGTTGAGGTGCTCTGAGTGGTCAGTGAGATTCCAGAAAAGTGCTTATGAAATTTGCCACATACCCATGAAATGCGAACATCACTCTAGAGCAGGGGTGTCAAACTTCGGTCCTCAAGGGCTGCTGTCTGACAGTTTTTAGATGTGCCACAAGTACAAAACATTGGAAAGAAATGGCTTAATTACCTCCTCCTTGTGTAGATAAGTTCTTCAGAGCCCTGCTAATGACCTAATTATGCAGCAGAGGCATATCTAAAAGTTGCCCTTGACATTAAAGGGTCCATACCATTGGAGCGGTATGCAAATTTTTATGGTTTTCAGCCATAGAAACCCATTTATACCTGGAAAATGATAACTGATTTAGTAGTGGTAAACACATCCATTTATAATTTCTTTCTAATTACAGTATTTGTCAGACACTACACAAGAAGACAGTGCTGGCCAGAAAATGTGTCAAGGACAAGTTACAAGAACTCTTGAAGCTTTGCTGCAAGACAGAATTATGTGATCTTGTTCTTGCAGCCACAGAGAGAGAAGGCATTTCTCTGTTTTTGCAGAAAATGTACGAGCACTTACTAAACAATTTGAGTTTAAGTTCGAATAATTTCTCATCACTTTCAAGTCTTTCTCAATCTGATCTTGATAACACACTCAAATAATAAAATTCTGACACATGGTGGGACAACAGTGTCAAACTGATTATTTTGCCACTTAAGTTGATGTGTTTTGAAAAGTATTTGTAGTAGGTGCAAATATGAAGTGATATCATACCTTATTTGAAATTTGAATCCCAGCGATGTGGATAACAAATGTATAAACTATTTATGTCTCTTTGTTGCATCTATCGTGTGTGTTGAGTTAACAGTTGGATAATTGTGAAGAAAATGTGCTGTTAGCAGTGGCTAAATACCTGCAGCAATAGCAGGGCTGATTGATGCAGGACTAAATGCCAACTGAAAACTTTCCCACAGCACTAAAAGCCAGATGTTAGCGGGATTGTTAACTATAGGGAAAGGGGTTTGGAAAATAGAGAACAATAAATTGAGGTGGGGTTTGGGGAGTTTTTTTTATACTGCCCTCCCCCTCCTGCTCCAAAGCTTCTAGATCCCTTGGAGCAAGTGATCTCTGTTCTCCTTCATTCTGCCAACATCACTACATCTCCTCTTCTTTTACGACATGTTTTACACTTTGTTTGTCTGTTTGTTTTTCGCTTGACTCCTGTTCGTGTTGGATTTTTTTTTTCTTCCAGCATTTTCTCTCGTTTACCCAGACTTTGGCTGTGGTGTCCCTGTAAATCTGTGACCATATTTCTGAATGTTTGCTTATGTTAATGTTTGCTACTTGCATAGCAGTAGAAAGAGGAGGGAAAAGAGTGCAACAAAACAGTGAATAGCCAAGTTTCTGGCTGAATGCTTACCAATTGAAAGGGGGCGGCTACTCCGTCTGACCCTTCCTCCCACCCTCTGTCAGGGTGAAAGGAGCCACTTCAAAGCCCTTTTTCCCACATTTTAACTCTGTTTTTATCTTGCTGAAATGAAATAGCTGATGAAGGTGACGATATTTTCATTCTTTGACTCGTGGGTGTTTATGGGTTTCTCTGATTTTTGATAAGGTTTATGCACTGAAACCCCACAGTGGGATTTGTTTACAGTCCTGCTGAAGAAGGATACTTGTGGTTTAATAAAACTTTCATTTTCTATTGAGAAACGATGACTTCCTGGAGGCATGGGCTGTTTTGAGGTTTTAAATTTTACTGAGTTTCTAACATGATGTCAGCGTGAAGTATGTAGCATGCCAGTTCAACGCTAAGAAGCTTACAGGAACCGTCCTACACTGCGAAGAGAAGAGCTGATCCAGACATGGCAGCTGTTAATGTTAATTCAATATTTTGTTGAGTCCTCCGCTGCCATTGTTAGAACTACAAGCAGACTACGTTCTTAATCAGCGCAGAAAAACAATGTCATTGTTCACAGCTTCTTCTGTTTGCTGACTGGCCTGGTGGGAAATCGACTGGAGAAAATCCAAGTCAAGGGGAGAAAACCCAGAATGAGATATCCTGATCAGAACACAAAAGTCATGGATCAAAGCCTTTCAGCTGAAACCAATGACTTTTGAGCCACTTACCCTTGATTTGTACTGTATGTGTACACCTTTTAAGTGTAACTAAACCTGATGTAAACGCATAATCCTGAACACAAACAATTTTTTTTAAATTCCACCAAAGTGGGTGGTGCCAAGAGACACTGAGGGGCGTGGGGATGAGCAGAGGGGTAAAGCACTGGGTGTGATCAGGGCAAGAGCAGACAGACTCACCCTAATTGTATGAGTCTATGGATTTTAGACTGCTTAGCCTTGGACTGGCTGATAGGTACAAAAGAAAACTCCCCCAAAAAATCTAAAGGTTTACATGTGTTTTGTTTTTGTTGTGTCACGTTGTAAAGGACAAAGGTCAGGGTACGGTTGTGTCCTGGTTGTGTGGCTGAGATAACGTTTCAGAAACTTGCTACTCTGTGTTTTGTTCTCTGATGAGTGTGTGTTCATGTGTTTGTGTGAATGCACAAAGCAAGACTGTCAAACAGAAGAAAGTTGAACAGCATTCAACATGTTTGGCTCTGAAAGTGAGGGGAGTGAATAATAAAGCCTGCTTTGGAATGCTCTAACTTTGTCTGCTTCTCTCATTGCCCCCCTCCCCACCCTGGCCCCTCTCTTTAAAAGTGAAACTCCCCCTCCACCTCCTTGTCATAAACTTCTGGAACAGGCACCGTTCTTTAAAAAGAGATCGTGTGTGTAGGTTGTTTGCCCAATGTGTTGCTTTCTTTGTGTGTTCACACACTCACCCAGATGCATGTGAAGCACCAGCTTTGTTGTGGTTATGCAAATTGAGAATGTGTAGCTCTATTCAGCTGAGCCATATGGTTGAGGCCATTCAGTGTGTAGATGTGTGTTTGTCTATGAGGTGGAAAGAGGGTGGTGTGTACTGTGGAATTTCCTCTCCTTCCACAGGATCCATACTTCCCACTTGCATTAAATGAAAACAAAACTGTTCCTCAAGTATTTCATGAAAGAAAAAAAGTTTTCAATGATTACGCTACTTTTGCTTTACAAAAAATAATTAGCATACATTAGAAGAGTATATATGTCTATAAATTGATGCGTCACTTAATAGAAATGGCTCTGCCTCTTTTACTCTCTACTGTAGTGACTTATTTTTCCACTAGGTATTTACTATGTTAGCATGTTGCAGAAAATACAAACATTAATTATGACCTCTGTGCACCTAGAATGGGAATAAGAGGCAGCTGAGTAAAAGCAGGCTTATTGCACACACAGCCATTCACACAAGTCCACAGTGTAGTCAGAAATAGGTCCCCACAAGGATATAAAAACCTGGTTCACACACACACGCGCACACACACACACACGCACACATGCACACACACCCAGCCCAGTTGGAAGCCTTTTAATGAATGTCTGACTGGTGCTCGGTTTAACCCTTTAAAGCTTGACACAGTAAATAATTTTCTGAGAGTTTACATTTTTAAAAACTGAACAATCTGTTGGATGCATTTAATAAAACAGATTTTTAAAACATTTTTAAATTTTGCTGAATTCTAACTTTTTTGCCTCTTGCATCAATAAAATCATCATCAACAGAAATATTCATGTCTGCTATATTTCACTACGTATTTCTTTGATACAGCAGGCTTTAAAGGAAAGCACCTCTTGTGAAGAGTTAAAAATCTGAGAGATACTTGTACTAAAAAAGAAGTGGTGTTATGGGGTTAGTGGTTCTGGGCTCTGTAGGATCCGTTTTTCTTTGGATTCTTGTTGTCTTATTGTGTGCATCAGATAATCTCCATGTGCTTCCATATGTGAAGTGTTCTGTGATGGGCTGACATCTCTCTGCGTGTCTGATGAGACCTTTGTTACTTTTCTCTTTGCCTATTTTCTCTGCCATTTTGTCCTTTCCCTCGTGTCCATTAAGAAACGAAGCGTTCTATCTCCCAAAATTGAATCAGAAAGGGGGGAGTGAAAATTACCCTGCCAGCGCCTAATTCTCCCTGAAAAAAGCCAGAAGAGAGAAAGAATGAGGAAAGGAAATAAAAAGGGAGTCCCTCTCCCATCTTTTAACTGGGATGGCCATGTCTAATTTTGTCCAATAGATAAATGAATGGATTTTTTGTGGAAGGGTCAAGAACCCCTTTGGTTCAGAGGTCCATCAAAGTAACTGTTGTTTTTTTTTCTGTTTGCTCACTCATAGCCTGTGAAAGGATATTTAAATGAGCATTCACTAAACATAAAGCCGGGTCCACAGCTGCCTATCACAACATTAATTCCATTAGAGCGCATTTCTTAGTTTAGAGGTTATTCTTGAAGAAGCAGAACCATGTGATGTTGTGAATGTCAAAGTCAACACTTTGATGACTACATTAAATAAAAGACTAGTTGTGGGAAAGTGTGAGAAATAGTTTTTGACCAGAGCATTTCCAGTTCTTTTACCACTTTTTATTGAGACAGGCTGTGTTTTCAGTGAGTTTATCTTCGATTCTTTCTGGAATCAAATGCCACACAACTCCTGAAAAGCTGATTTTCAGGAGTTGTGTGGTATTTCTCTCTAAGAAGTGACATAGTTTGCATTTAGCTAGTTTTGCAGTTGGGGTGGCGATATGACTAAAATCTTATATAATGATTTTACCACTTCTCAGCTAAAAGATTAAAGACAATTTCTCAGCAAATTATTCATTTGTGGCACAATTATAAAATTGTGCCACAAATATTAAGAATAACTTATGCTTATGATTAAAGTACACAATGTCTCAAACTGTTGCCTAACTCTAAAAGATCTGCCACTACACCACAACTCTCTTAATATTGCTCCAATATTGCTACATAAGTCATAAAAACTTAACATTTTGTGTTACTACTGTTAAATTTCAATTAATTAAATGTTATTTCAAATTTGAAGTTCTACCCAATAAAATATGTATAAAACTGTAGAGATCTGTGTTATGAAGGAAACCGTTAAAAGAGAAGTGCTGAGTGGGCATGCCGTTAACCTAGAGAGAATGCTCACCAAGTATTGTGCAAGGTAAGATTCGGACATGGTTAAATCTAAACCACACAGACCAACATACCACAGCTTTTGCTTGCCAGTGTATGTTTCTGGAAAGATTACATGAATTATTTATGGCTGCAATCACACAGTCAGCATGAAGTGAGAGACTGCAGTGTTTTGGTTTTTCCTGAAAACTCTCCAGTGATTTCTCTGAATCAGCTGACTGGTTAGAGGCAAACAGAGTTGGAAGCAGGCAAAAAAAACAACAACAACCCAACAACAAAAAACGGCAAGCTCAAAAAAAATCCAACATAACAAATTTTGTTTGTATGTTGTTCATAGCTAATGAAATATACATTTGTAAGATGTATACCATGAGAACCCAGGAGGATTTGCAGCCTTTCTGGGGTTGGCTGTATATTCCTCCCAGTGCTAACACCTTGGAAGCTCAGGCGACTCCTTAATACCACCAGTGAGTTTTAAATGGTTTATCATGACAGATTTATTGTGGTTTGTGGAGATTTCAGACATGCAGACTTGTTAGTTTTTAGCTAGAGCAAAAAAATCACAGGATCTGCAGCAAGAATCTTACAAAACAGCACCTTATCCACATCTCAGACAGTTCAGATTTCTGACTGAGAAACAGCCATACTGTCAAAAAGCCTGAAAATTCAGTATGTAGGGAGGAATTTACAAGCCCATTGCATTCCAGATGTTAGTTTTCTCTTTCTCTCTGTTACTACAGGTCTTCATGGAAGTGTGTATCAGCCTGGTTCATTTCAAATGTGTTAAATCTGCACATTTCCACCAAGTTGCTGGTGAACTTAGTCTGTAGCTGTGAAGCTTTCTGTGATTTCTGAATCTTCAGTCCTCAGTCGGGTCTTGGGTTTGACTCCAGTGCGGGTTCATTCTACATGGAATTTACATGTTCTCATCACACGTACTGGGGTTCAATAACCATGGAGATGGGCTTTGGTCTCATCTCTTGACCCTGCAGTGATATGCCCATATAGGCAGTGAATGGATAATGTGTGTTCTTGTACCTTGCCTTCTGCTCCACCTGGTGGTGTGTCTCCTCAACAATACAAGTGTCTGTCTTTAATTTGATCCCAAAATCCTTTTTAACTTATTGAAGTTGTGCTTCACCAACTTGTGCACTGTAACATATCAGTAAGCATATCGTAATAGTAGCAGTGACATGATAGTGACTTGTATTTCAGTTTAAGGACTCCAGCAGTATTATTGGCAGTGTGGCGCAGGGCCCACAGCTTCTGTCTGAACCTGCATGTAGAAACTATGCTACTATGCTTCTGTCTCTACCTCAGGTGATCAACGTGGACGGCAGCAACAGGCAGACTCTGCTGGAGGACAAGCTGCCTCATATCTTTGGCTTTACTCTGCTGGGTGAATACATCTACTGGACCGACTGGCAGAGTCGCAGCATTGAGAGGATCCACAAAGCCACCGCTGTGCGAGAGATCATCATCGATCAGCTGCCAGATTTAATGGGCTTAAAGGCTACGAAAGTCACAGAGACCTACGGTAGGATTTACAGATTTCGGGAGATTTTTGAACAGTGGATAAGAATACAAAAGAAAATTATGAACTGAGTGTACATGAATGCTTGTGTTTTTGCTCAGGTACAAACGACTGTGCAGAGAATAATGGTGGGTGCAGCCATCTGTGTTTTTGGTGTGAGCAGGCGGTCCGCTGTGCTTGTCCCATGGGGCTAGAGCTCCTCTCAGACCTCCGGACCTGCGTGGTGCCGGAGGCCTTCCTGCTGTTTACCAACAGGTAGGACAAAATGCCAAACTATTGGTCTAATTGACTCCAGACTACATTCAGTAAATTAGAATATTACATCAAACAGTAATAAAAAAATAACGTAGTTATATAGGATTAAATGGGATGTTTAACACCTGCTTTGAAATTATTACATTCAAAAGCCACTTTTAATCTGTCAAATGTCAGCTCATTCTCGATTGCATATCGAGTGATGCCAGGAGGAATTTACAAGCCACCAAATTTACAAATTGACTGTACAACTTCACATCAAGTAAGTCAGAGGCAGCAGTGTAGTGGAAGTAAGAAATGGTGCCACCTGCAGGTGGGAGTTAGTATCACTTAGTCAATATTTTAAGTGATTTTTTGGAACGTTTTCAGCAAACATTTTGCATCAGTGCAAAAAAGTTTGGGGATTTGTTAATTTTGCAAAAGATTGCTTTGGTGTAATATTTGATAAAAGCTTTTGATCTTTAATGTGGACCTTTCCCTTCTGTTGATGCCCCTTCTTTATCAATTAAGTGATGCCAAAACTTTCAGTCATGCAATGAAAGAAAATTAAAAAGCACATCAGTAAGGTGTAAGATAAAAAAATTTTGTTAGTACAATATTCAGGTATCCCAGTTATACAATAAATATAGGATCTTTGCTCAGCTCATTCTCACTGTTAGTTTTGACTTTTTTTTACTTGCAAAATGTTTTTTTCTTCTTACTTGTGTTTCTGCTGAGCTTAAAGTAACGACCTCTGTGTTTCTGTACTCACTTAAAGTTTATGTTTTCCCTTTTTACTTTTGAGAAGATATTAAATATTATTCAGATGATTCTAATGTGCAGTAATGAAGAAGTGAGTTTAATGTCTCACAAAACATGTGAGTGTCTCAGCAACAGCTTTGGTTTTATTTGATTGCTGTGGATATATGTTCTCCAAAGGGACAGCATCAGGAGCATTTCTTTGGGCACAAACAGCAACGATGTGGCCATTCCTCTGACAGGAGTCAAAGAGGCCTCGGCTCTTGATTTTGATGTTTCAGAAAGGAGAATTTACTGGACAGACATACAGGCCAAGGTACCAGACACAGTTTCACTTATATATAGGTTATGTTTGATGAAGAGAAAAGCAACATTTGTCTCATCCTTCCTCCATTCTCTCTACCAGACCATCAGCAGAGCATATATGAACGGCAGCTCCATGGAACACGTCATAGAGTTTGGACTTGACTACCCTGAAGGCATGGCCATTGACTGGATGGGTCGTAACATCTACTGGGCGGATACTGGCACAAACCGCATTGAGGTGGCCCGCTTGGATGGCCAGTACAGACAAGTTTTGGTCTGTAAAGACCTGGATAACCCACGCCTGCTGGATAACCCACGATCTCTAGCTCTGGATCCTGCCAATGGGTAGGAATTCAATATTTAATAACTGCTTGACATATTTGCCGAACCGAGTGAGCTTCAATACCAAAAGATAAAAAATAAATAAATGAATAAAAACCTGCCCAAATCAGTTAAATCTACTGAGCTGCCTGATATAATCTACAGAAACTCATCTTGAAGTGTTCCTGCTAAGTCTTGTTAAGTATAGAAATTATTTGGCACAAGTTAAAATTTTTGCAGGTCTCAAGAACTATGGAAAAAGAAAAGAATGAGTTTGGAAAATACATATATTTTTACATTTTATAATTATGTAAATAAGTCCCTACTTCTGGCCTTTCCTCTTTATGTATACTTTGTTGTGTCCTTTTTTCTTCTTACTTTTCTCTTTTTCTAATGTTCTTAATTCTTATCTTAATATTTTATTTTCATGTTTCCACCCTTATCCTTTTTTCATTGTATCAAATGCCATCATCAAAATCAAGTGTAATGACCATCAAATACTGGATGGTCACTATTTACAGGTGCTGACTATACATAGTGACATATGTGGCTGCAACAAGAAGGCTAAAATAAATAAAAAAAATACTTAAACACTTTTATTATTATGGCAATACATTCCACAAAATCTGACGATAGTCTTGGTCCTTTTTCTGTCCTTCCTTTCCGTTGTGTTTTGTACTGCCTTGCCTGAGGCCGAGTCCTATAGCTGTGTGCTGTCTCCACAGCTACATGTACTGGACAGAGTGGGGTGGTCGTCCCCGCATAGCCAGAGCCTACATGGATGGCGACACCATCATTACGTTAGTGGATAAGGTGGGCCGTGCCAATGGACTGACAATTGATTATGTGGAGCATCGACTCTACTGGACTGATTTGGACACATGTATGATTGAAAGCACCAACATGCAAGGTTTGTCTTCACACATCAGTCATCATTAATGGAGCATCTGAGCTCGGCCCGTTCCTCTGTAACACAATTGAACTCTGCAAGCAGCATATAAAGCTGTCAAACATTTTTTGTCAGATTTGAATGATTTACATTCCCCTGTGAACGTGAATATCCAACTAAGATAAAGTAAAAACAAGATGCGTTTTTCATGTGATGATTTCATTCATGAAGGGAATAAGAGTTATGCAAAACCAGCCTGGCCCTTTGTGAAAAAATAATTAGTCTATGGGGAATTTTTCTGTCATAATTCAAGAGCACACATTTTCAGTCTGAAAGCAGGATTACATGTCTCTTGTTCTCAAAACTTTTAATACTTTTGCTTCCATTTTCATCTTGAAAGGTGCATTACATATCCTTCTTCTAAAAATTTTATACTTTTGCTTACTTTTTCATTTTGAAAGCAGTGCTTCATGTCTTTCTTCTGAAAACTTGTAATATCTAATTAAACTTTTCTCCTTGCGCTCTTGCAGAACTCTGCTTCCTTATGAAACATTCTCTGCTTGCTTTTGGAACTGTCTTTTGGCAATGTTGCCTGGTAACGTCTCAGCCAATAGAATGGAAGTGTTTATTGGATGCGTTTTTTTCCTCGTAGCTACTAGAAGTGGCTACTATTGATTGTAGCAACCTGCACCACCCACTAGATGTCAGGAGTTGGTTGCGTGAACAAACTCCTGCCTAATATCAGTAGCACACTGCTGGCAGATGTTTATATACCATGGAGCAGAAAGCTGAGGCCCTTGTTTCTCCCAGGCGACAGTGCATTTTTTGTTCCAGAAGCAAGCATAATATGTTTCATAAGCGAGCAGAGAATCTGAGCGGAGACTATGTCTGAGGGCAAGGAGAAGTTGTGATTACAAACATTACAAGTTTGGAGAACTTTCAGACTGAAAGTACGTGCACCTAGATTATGGCAGAAAATTCATCCATTATAACATCATTAACCACATTTTTGGAAAACTGAGATCTGCTTCAGTTGTCAGATCCACTGCTAACTACCAGAACCGGGCTGACAGTATCAATGTATGATTGGTTCCAGGCCTTCAGAGGGAGATAATCGTGGATGACCTTCCTCACCCCTTCGGACTCACTCTGTATAGGGACTTCATCTACTGGACAGATTTCAACCTGCGCAGCATTGAGCGAGCTGACAAACGCAGCGGGCTGAACCGCACCGTGGTACTGCAGGTACTGAACAAGCTGATAGCCATTTTGGAGAATTCTAAAACTCAAATTGTTAACATTAACTAGAATTATACACAGAGTTGATGATGTTGTTTCCATCACACTTGATTTCATCTCAGGGTCAGCTGGAGCTGATGCTGGACATCCTGGTTTTCCACTCCTCCCGTCAGGATGGGACCAATGAATGCTCACAGAACAATGGGAACTGTGGCCATCTGTGCCTGGCCACTCCTGCTGGAGCTCAGTGCCGCTGCGCCTTCCACTACACCCTCAACCCTGATGGGAAAAACTGTAGTTGTAAGTACAAGGAGGCAAGGATTTTAAAAAAATAAACGGTAAACTCCACACAGTATTATGGCTCAATCTTAAATAGTGCAAAAAATGTTTTGCAAGTGATAGTATGTAGTAATAATAATAATAATAATAATAATAATAATAATAATAATAATAATAATAATGATACGTGTATAATATTTCTTAGACTTTCTGGTGCTCCAAGCTGAAGATAGTTGAGCAAAAAACAGTTCATAGAGAAATGGTTTTTGCATAAGAATGCTTTGAAATGAAGCCAAATGGTTTAACTGCAGCACATAAAGAAGAAGAATGATTGCTTTATGGCCAAAATGCTGTACTTTTTTAAACTTCTAAGTTTTTTAAAGATGTGAAAAATAGTTTTTAATCATTTTTTTATGTTGCTATTAAATATGTATGTAATGTAATTGACATGTAATGTAATCAGTCTCTCTTTAGGGATAGTTAGTTTCTGCGTACTTATCCGTAGTTGAATATATTTAAAGAAAATCAAACATCTGCAGAACGTAGACATATTTATCTATTTAGTTCTAATATGTTCAGGGGTTCTGCTTTGCTGTGTTGTTTTAACCAATTATCATTGAGCAAAGTCCAACACTTGTTTTCAAAGATGGACCCTAAAGCCCTCTTGCTGATATCCTGCTGTCCATCTCTTGATAAAGTTCTCCTTCCCGTCTCTGTCTGCAGCTCCTTCAAGTTTCTTGCTCTTCAGCCAGAGGGCCAGCATTAGCAGGATGGTGTTAGGAGACCAGAGTCCGGACATAATCCTTCCCATTCATGTCACGAGGAACGTCCGAGCTGTGAGTTACGATCCACTGGAGCGCTTGGTCTATTGGCTGGATGGACGGCAGAACATACGAAGAGCCAGAGATGATGGCACCATGGTAACACATTTAAACAAAGAGCTGTTGGCAACCCTGACAATGAAACAGTTGCTGTAGTTTTATATGACTAAAATGTTGGTCTTGTGTTCTCTCTGTGGTCACCTTTAGTCTTCAATCATAGTTAGCAGTCCTGCTCAACAAGTGGATAATCAGCTTCATGACCTGAGCCTTGACCCCTACAGTCGTCACATTTACTGGACCTGTGAGACTACCAACACCATCACAGTTCAGAAGATGGACGGTCGCATCGTCGGTGTGGTTGTCAAGGATGATACTGATAAGCCAAGAGCCATCGTGGTCAATGCAGAAAAAGGGTAATGTTTGTTGTAATGAACACACCGCAGCACGTCAGAGTGACAGAGAGTCACAAGAGTTTAAGGTTTACTCCTCTCCACAGGTACATGTACTTCACTACTGTACAGGAGCACTCTGCTAAGATTGAAGGAGCGAGTCTGGATGGAACAGAGAGAGAGTCCTTGTTCTCCACTGGTCTGATTAGACCTGTGGCTCTGGCTCTGGACAACAAGCTGGGAAAACTGTTCTGGGTTGATGCTGACCTCAAACGCATCGAGAGCAGCGACCTGACAGGTGAGTAATCATTTGCATAGAGTATTATTTTCCCATTTTTTTATTGGAATTCAAGAAAATTACTAGTTACTGTTACTGGTAGATGAAAAGAAACCATTGCTGAAGTCCATTTCTTGTTTTCTTTCAGGGGCCAATCGCATTGTCCTGCAGGATTCCAACATCCTCCAGCCGATGGGGCTGACAGTTCTTGGGGATCATCTCTACTGGATTGACCGGCAGCAGCAGATGATCGAAAGGGTAGATAAACTGACTGGAGAGTTCCGCACACGCATTCAGGGACGGATATCATACCTGACATCTATCCACGCAGCATGGGAGATGGACCCATCAGAGTTTGGTAGAGATCTAATGCTCTTTGACATTATTCATCAACTTGTTCCACACTTCATCAGACCGATGTTATAATAAACATCTTTGTTGTTTCTTCTACCCAGCATCCCACCCTTGTTCCCGAGACAATGGAGGCTGTTCTCATATCTGCATTGCAAAGGGTGATGGAACATCAACCTGTTCTTGTCCCATGCACCTGGTTTTACTGCAAGACCTGCTGCACTGTGGAGGTAAACCTCACACCACCACAGCCGTACTGAAGGATAAAACAAGTACTGGTGTTGATAAGAATATGGAGAGAAATATTGGCCATACCGAGGAAATTCACTGTAATACTTCCTTGGAAAAGAGTTAATGCCTATTGATTTTTTCCACATTTTATTGCCATATCATCATTATTATGGTAGAAGATCAGAAATGTAGTCTGGGTTTCTATTATGAAGTGCTTTGTAAACTATTAAGGAGATTTTCAATTCTACTCTTTGAGCAACAGGCAGCTGGTGCAGGGATCTGAGAACTGGACTAATATGTTGATCTCTTTTTGTTTCAGTTAGGACTCTTGCAGCGGCATTCTGGAGAAGCTGGAGCTGTCTTGTTGCTTTTTTTGGTTATCCAGTAAAATTGGCATTGCAAAAATCGAGTCTATTAAAAACAAAGGCATGAACTAATTTCTCAGAGTCTTGTGGGGACAAGAATTGTCTAATTTTAGCAATATTTTTGAGACGGTAGTATGATGTTTTTATGATAGATTTTATGTGGTTATTGAAGTTCAGATCAGGATCCATGATCACCCCCAGATTCTTGGCTTTGTCAGATCATTTTAAACCAATAGATTGAAATCTATGCTCTTTTGGTCCAAACACTAATACTTCAGTTTTGTTTTGATTTATTTGGAGAAGGTTATGGCTCATCCAGACATTAATCTGCTCAATACAGACTCTGGAGGAGAGTGACATTAATTATTTGTAGAAGATCAAGAGCAAAAACATCTGAGACCTTTAAGAATAACCTTGTAGGTATGATGTAAAGGGAACGGGTGGGTGAATTCATATGATTTAAAATGTATCTCAAATCTAGGTTAAAGTGGGTCCTGTTTAGTGGAAAACATAGTTGACTATTTCCTAACAGCAGATGCAGAGCAGTTTACTGTCTCCCTTATTTTCAGTTTTATTTATAGAATAGGTGGCAAATTTGTCACAGGCCTTAGAGGAGAAAAATTCATGGTTAACAGAAGAAGGTGGATTTGTCAGTCTGTCAACAATTGAGAACAGAACATGAGAGTTGTTGATAGAGGTAGAAATAACATTTGAGAAAAAAACTCTTGTATTTCTCAGTTCAGAATAAAAATTTTTTAGTTTGTCTTTGAAATGGGTTTGCAGTTTAGTTTTACTCCACTGACGTTCTGCTTTCCGGCACTCGTTTTTCCCTTTTCTAACTGACTAAAAATTTCTGCAAGGTGGTTGACGTTGATTACTTTTGTAGTTTGGTAGAGATTACTTTTGTAGTTATAGTGTCAAGGACCTTCTTGGTTTTAAAAATGAAGTTGTCTATTGGATCATTCAGAGGAGTACAGGAGTGTATAGCTGTTGGAGGAAAAGCCTGAATAAATTGATTGGCAGTAGTTTCTGTAGTGCATTTTTTTTAGATGACTTGTATAGTTGTCTTTGTGAGCAGGGAGAAAGCTTTTGCAAAAAATACAAAAGTGATCTAAAAGTGCTACATCAAGCACTACAATGTTAGATATAATGAGTTATTTAGAAATAATAAGGTCCATAGTGTGTCCATGATAGTTATTCAGGATCTGACGCAGATCTTTACTGCCTCAATCCAATGGATTGTCAACCAAAATTAGGGACAATAATTTAGTGAAATCATCAAAGAAGTTTGCACAGAGTTTCAGAGGTTTGTATACATTCCGCAGCAAGATACGAGAGGATGAGTTTAGTTGCAAGGCAACATATTCAAAAGACAAAAAGTTTACTTAGGATATCTGCTTACAAGTGAAGGCAGAATTAAATAAGACAGCAACTCCACCTCCCCTTTTGTCTGTTCTGGTCTTAAAAAGCTAAAATTTGGAGGACATGATTCAATAAGATTAGATGAGCTGTTATTTTGATTCAGCCAAGTTTTGGTCAGGAGCAAAAAATCAAGATGATGACCAAAAATCAAGTCTTGAATCAAAAATGATTTTCCTGCCAAAGATCTGATGTTTAATAAAGCCAATTTTAATATGCAGCATGGAGCTTTCAGATTTCTGTTTGGTTTCAACATTGGTTGAAGTGGAATAGATACAAAACTTTGGAATCTACAGACTTTTTTGTCTCTGTGTGATTTTATTAATTTTTGTCTGTTATTTATCAGAATTGGTATTATTGAGGGTCCCTCAAAAGTAGAAGTTGATTTCACTGAGCTGAAGTCAGAGACATGAATCCCACTAACTTTTATATTTTTACAGCTTTTTCTGTAATCCCTTATTTTCATGATGGGGAAGCACATTCTTAGCAGAATAAATTGTGGAGGAGGTATCCCTAAAAACATGATGTGTTGATTCACATAGTCAATTTTGATCACTTAAAGTGCTTGAAATACAATAATGCAAAGTCTACAATGACTTTGTTGTTTTTGCTGGTGTTTTACTGTCATTCACTTTACTTTCTTCTGTTGACGTTTTCCTTTTTTCACTGTGAAACTTCTCCATCTCTCAGGTCTGCACACCGGTGTGCCTGTGTAGGCTGAAGCTATTTACCAAAAGAGAATTTGCAAGAGCTTCGGTGTCCGAACAAAAATACTTTTATCTGAACACAAAAACATTTTGTTCAGATACTTCTTGATAAAAAGTAGTGAAAACTCTGCATCATTCTCATTAATCTTCAGTTACACATGACATCGTGTTGATTTGGTTTGCTGTTGTAACAACGGAAAAAAGTCCAAGATGTCTTAAAACACAGACTCTGGACAAAATGTATATTGTTCATGTTCAGTGTCTTCTCTTAGCTTTTGGTTTTACTAATATCATCTCTTGCTGCCTCTTTATCCGCCTCAGAGCCCCCCACCTGCTCCACAGAGCAGTTCACCTGCTCCACTGGAGAAATTGGCTGTATCCCCATGGCCTGGCGTTGTGATGGTTTCCCAGAGTGTGATGACGGCAGCGATGAAATGCACTGCCTCATCTGCTCTGCCTTCCAGTTCCAGTGTGATGAAGGAAGCTGCATCGATATTCAGAAACGATGTGATGGAGAACCTGACTGTCCTGATAAGTCTGATGAGCATGAATGCAACAGTATGTTCACACTCTTAACATTCATCACCTGCAGCTGACCTGTAGTATTTGTCCTGTAACAGTGTTCAAAATGTTCTCCTCTAACTTAATTTTTATTATTATTATTTTTTCATCAAATTAGTTTAGTTTTTGCTCAAAACAAAATTATTTTAGACTTGTGGTGTAGTTCTACTTCTACATTTAAAGACTGTAAGTGTAGTGATAAGTTAAGTAAATGTAGACATTAAACCACTTCTTGCCTAATTCCTATAAATGAGGATGGAATACACAACACCATGATGTAACATTGTGGTGTGACAGGGTTGCACAGATTGTTCCGCCTTATTTTGTTCGTTTTGGGTGATGGACGATCAGTCAACACCTGCTTGTGAAACCGATGTTAACCACTAATCTATTCTACCACCAAGGCTCTGATAGAGGGTTGTGTTCAACTTAGCAACTTTTTCGATATATTTAATACTGAAACAAATCAGTATAAGTCAAAATCATTCCGGCTTTTCAAATATTGGTAATTAGTCAGGCAACTAGACTGTAAAGCAAATTAGTAATGACCCTTAATACAAGCAAAATATATATAACAGCTATTTGAATATGTCTGAATATCTGACATAATTTTCTTAAAGGAAAATGTTTTCTATTCATCTTCCATGAATCTGTTTATCTCTCTCCCTCTAACTATCATGTAAGTCTTTCCTTACCAAGTTCAATCTGATACAGTCATAAGGTTTCATGCTCTGCTGCAAATAAGCAGCAGAGCATGGAGGCCCTTCGACTATTTCTACTTGGACCTTCACAACATGTACCAGGAGTAGGAGAGTAACTCCTGCTGCAAGGTGCAGGAGAGCAAACTGCTGATGTCGAAACGAAATTCAGCAACTTTAAAACCGCAGATATCTTGCCTGATATCTGCGGTGTTTGTCTGGTGGAAGCATTTGTTCATTGCCTGAGAAAGCCAGTAACAATAAGCGGTGTGACTTGGCGAGCTCATCCTTGCTTTCAGTTCAATGTGCCGACTATGAACTGAGAGGTGAAAGTAGGTGAGTGACCATGTAGAGACAGAAACAGCGGATGAAGGGATCTGGCGGCTCTTACACAGCATAATATAATTAATAATATTAACTGTGAACACCTTCACTTACTCTATATTACTATATTGAGGCGGACCTTCTCATTGAATGGGTGGGGCGCCCCCTCCTGGACGTGTGACATTCTGTGAAATGTCACACGTTAAGACACACTCCTGTCTTTCAGCTGTCTGCCCTCCCAACCAGTTCCGCTGTGGGGACAACCATTGCATCACTAAAAAACAGCAGTGTGACAATTACTCAGACTGTCTGGATGGTTCTGATGAGCTGGCTTGTGGTAAATATGTCGACATTGCAGCAGCAGTTTCTCTCATCACGACTCGCATCATATTCACATATCCCTCTTTTTTCTTGTCCAGATTATATTTCTCCCTCCTCAAGCTTCATTCCCAGTAATGAAACCACCAATCCCATTGGCCCAGTCATTGCCATCATTCTGCTCATGTTTGTGATGGGAGGAGCATGCTTTGTCTGTCAGCGTGTGGTGTGTCGGCGCTACAAGGTTCCTAATGGGAGCTTTCCTCACGAGTACATCAGTGGGACGCCCCACGTGCCTCTCAACTTCATCACCCCCAGCAGCTCCCAACATGGCACCTATCAAGGTGGGATCAGTTTATCAGCTGCAATGCTATGACCTGTTCTCCATCAGCAGTTATGTTTGGTCTAAATAAATGATGCGTGTATGCAGGGATCTCCTGTGGGAAGTCCACTCTGAGCTCAGTCAGCCTGATGGGCAGCAGCAGCAGTGGAGCCCCTCTTTATGACAGGAACCATGTGACTGGAGCTTCATCCAGCAGCTCCTCATCTACCAAAGGAGTCTTCTACCCAAAGGTACACACAGCAGCACTGTGAGTCTGCACTCCACGCCTCACTTACTTAACATCTCTGTTTTATAATTGCAGATCCTGAACCCTCCTCCATCTCCGGCCACAGATCGGTCTCTTTACAACACAGAGATCTTCTATTCCTCCAACAGTCCATCTACAACCAGATCATACAGGTAACCTATTCACAATTCTGTGTTTAGTTTTCACTGTTCCATATCTTGCCACATGAGCATGAAACACCCTTCTGGTAGTTATAGCACCAGTGGTGAGGAAAAGAGGCGCATTTTGACAAAATCATGTCTATTTTTTTTTCCCATAGCAAAGTATATAGGCCATCTTGGGATGACAGTTCAGTTTTCCATGAATTAAATAAATAAATCTGAATTTAGATCAGAATGTTGTCAGTTGGAGCCAAATATTCACAATACTTCATGAGAGTCTTCACCTTTACAGAGAGCTTTTATCCGTCCGTCCGTCCGTCCATCCATCCATCCATCCATCCATCCATCCATCCATCCATCCATCCATCCATCCATCCATCCATCCATCCATCCATCCATCCATCCATCCATCCATCCATCCATCCATCCATCCATCCATCCATCCATCCATCCATCCATCCATCCATCCATCCATCCATCCATCCATCCATCCATCCATCCATCCTTTAATGAATTAACTTGCTATGTTTTCTTCCACAGGCCCTACCACCCAGTCCGTGGAGGGGCCCCTCCTACGACCCCTTGCAGCACAGACGTCTGTGACAGCGACTACATGCCCCACCCCCCCCCTGTGGGCATGCCGCTGTCGGGGGGCCGCTGGAAGGCCCCAGGCCACACCGCTCACGGCAAACCTACGAAATACTACATGGACCTTAACTCAGACTCGGACCCCTACCCTCCACCCCCAACCCCACGCTCTCAGTACATGTCTGCTGAGGAAAGCTGTCCTCCTTCCCCTTCCACTGAACGATCTTACTTCCACCTGTGCCCGCCTCCTCCCTCCCCCTGCACCGACTCATCATGACCCTCTAACCGCCAGGGGAAATCAAAGGGATGAAGTGGACTCACTTCTTTGTTCTGAATTAAACTAATGTGCCAACAGTCAGCCTGACAGGTGGAGGGGTGGGGTGGCTGTCTCATACCTGCCACTTTATATGAACTAGAAACTAGGGGAAGTGCCTTCTTCAAGCTCCTCCCATCCTCCATCTGATATTCCAATCATCCTCAGGAAGGCTCCTGTTGAGCCCATGACCTGAGGAGAACTGCTGAGGAGCTGTTGAAGTTTCCAGGCGATGCCTGTTTTGCCTCAAGCCTCAGAAAAGAGACGAGGAGAGAATTCAGACCGCAGCTCCTTCCTCCGGTCCCTGGACCTGTTTTTCCTGACCTAGCCATTTTTTCCTTTAACTCTTCAGTGTGGAAATATGAACTGAGCAGCTGAAGAGAAGAGATCACTGAGACTGAAGCCAACCCACTGGCCGGGGTCTCTGCCCCCCCTGACCTTCCTGCCCCCCTGGCCGTCTGGCCCCAGCATTTCACTATGGCAGCAGCAGGAAGCATTAGGCTGCTAACAGGAAGTCCACCTGAGTCATATTTTACCGATGGAACATAAACACCGTCCCTTGTGTTTTTAATTCCCTCATTCTGTCTTTCAATCTTATTGTGCTCCCTCCATTCCTTCCTCATATCCCGCATATCTCTGTTCTATTCTTTCTCTCCTCTTTTTCTCCCTTGTGTTCATCCTTCTGCCTTTCCATGCATGTTTCCTTCTTTGTATCTTCTTTCCTCTGGTCCTTTCTTACTTTCTTGATTTTGTGAATTCCATGTATGAATCTAATCACGGTGGAAATCTGTGCCCTAAATCCAAGGTGAGCTTGAGAATTTATTATTTTAAAATGTACCTGAAGAACATCAACAGTTCTTCGGGTACAAGTCTGGAAGATGTTTAGGAGCTTCTGTGAATGTTTGCTGGATGGACTGAAGCAGGTGGATGCCATCACATGTTGGGTGGAGGAAGGAGTGAATGGTGGCAGCAGGAGGCAGAGGCAGCATCACCACCATCATAGCAGGAACAGCTTCAACTTTTGTACATAATGTGGAATGAAGTCAGTGAACCTGTCTGTCCCTCTCCTCCTTGTCCTGTTTACCAAAAGTATTTTTGCTGCTATTATGTACAGAATCAATCAGATACTATGATATGTAATTACACAGAAATGCCAAAATGATCCACCTGATCATATTGTCATCCTGACAATAGATTATGAAGCTATTTTACAACTAAAAACAAATTATTCCTATAGCATTTTGTCTCATTAGTATATCTGTATGTTAGCTCAGCATGTATTAGCCTGTCTGTCATTGTTTTCTCTGAGGACATTAGCGTTGCCATGCTAGTGTCTTTATGTTTGTCTCATCACACACAGATCTCAGAATCAGCATCTCAGTGTGCAGCTGTGAGAATCCTGGTGTGGCTCCTCACAAAACATCCTGCAACCACCAAAGTACGCTTCACTGCTAACAGTTAGCTTCACAGTGACCTTTTCTTGTGACACTTTTTCTAAAAAAAATAAGTAATTTTGGAAGAAATCCTCTAATTCATTTTGTTTTCTTCATGGAAAACACCAGCCTCAGTCTAATAGTTTAGCCACATTGGACACATTCAGACATCGTTAACTCCCTCACATATTTCTTCTGTTTTTGCTTTTTTTTTTTTTTTTTTGTCCCACTAAAGTGATTTACATAATGAAACAATTTTAATTTCAGACAACGATAACTCCAGTAAATATGAGAAGCAGTTTAAGTGTTTCATGTATCAAGAGAAACAAGCAGTCTAGACCAACCTGGCCCTTTGGGAAGAGAAGTTGCTCCTGAAACGCCTGTCAGGTGTTGGTGAGACAAGTTTATCATCCTCATCACTGTGAAAAAATCTTGGCCCACTTGTCTTTGAAGAAGAGTTTTAATTCAGCCACACTGAAGGGAACTTGAGCATGACCAGCCTGTCAAAGGTCACATTTAAGTCCACTCTAAGACCATTATTTCAGCTTTTGTAGACTCCTTCCTCATTGTGCGTTTATTACTTAACAATACGCTTTCCTCCTAATAAATAAAAAGACCATTTAAATCAATTTTGTATTTGCTCAGCTTATCTTTGTCTGATATTTAAACTCCTTTAAGATCTTAACATTTTTTATGTGGAAAAAAATGATAAGGAGCAAATATTTTAAAACAATAAGGGATTTCACCAACATTTCTGAAGTAAAGCAACTTCATGGCCTCAGCACGAGCTTGATGCTAATCCTTTCCTACCCAGAAACATTGAAGCTGCTGCCAGGCGCCGACTGGCCTGACACCATACTAGTATCAGTTTCTAGCTGCGGCTCCATGTCAGCAGCACAACTCATTTTCCTTCAAGGGCTGAAAACCACTGCCAGTAAAATTCTGTACATGCTGTCTCAGCTTTGAATGCTTTGTGTGATTTACAGTCCTGAATTTTTTTTGTATCAAAAGCATTTTTATATAATAAAGGTTTTATTTTAAAGAATGTTGTCATCTGTAACAGGTTGGCCTTTTACGGCTGGATTTTTCAGTGCAGATTGATGATATCAAGCAGAGTTTAGGTGGAACAGCAGGTTTATTCCTCCCAGCATCACAAACAATGTCACACTCTTGGTCTTACAAACATCTCAATGTCTCAATATCTCTCTCACAGGTGAAAATTGCAATCTTAAATAGTCCCAGCTGTGACAGTTAAAACAATCTGAAAATTCATAAGATAATCCCATCTTACCCTGTTCCCCTTAATTGAATAAAATACATTTTACTATAACCACATCAACTTCCTTTTTATAAATATTTTTTATGTTTTAACCTTACCCTTACTAAAACACCATAAAACAGTACACCATAAAACAATACCCCCTCCCATTTTTCTCAATGGTCTCTCCCAGGACCTATATCATTGTCCAGCCCCTTAGGACAATATTTGTCCAAACATCCTGAGAGGACACATAAAAAGACAGGTGAGTCACTATATTAGCACATTCCACACCTAATAAATTATGCACATCATTTATTTAGTTTTATCCACCAATAGCTCATTGCTCTGAGTATCAATTCTCCTCTCTTCACAGTTAACCACCTCCACTGGCCAATGAGGAGCAGCTGTGCAGAGTCCAGAACAAAGGCTACACACCAATCCCTAAAATACTCAATAAATACAATTAAAACTTCCTGAGTGCAAAATGTTAATTTATAGATCTATTTTAAAAGTGCAGTGCTAAATAAAGTGCATAGTGAGAAAGTGCAAATGTTTTTACAGTGCGATACAATACATTGAATAAATTAATTCAGTAATGAAGGCCTCTTCATTACATTTCCTCCCTCCTCTTTTCAGAGCTCAGTATCTCAGTCCTCTGAGACTCTGGATAAACAGTCAGCAACCACATTCGACTTTCCTGGCTTGTACTGAACTGTAAAGTCAAATGGCTGCAGTGCCAAGTACCATCCAGCGATGCGAGCGTTGGCATCCCTCATCCGTCTCAACCACTGAAGAGCACGATGGTCAGTCTCCAGGATGAAGTGACGTCCTAACAGATAATACCTGAGAGCCTCAATAGCCCACTTCATGGCCAAGCACTTTTTCCACTGTCGAATATCTCGTCTCTCGGTCAAGCAGCTTCCGACTCAGAAACACCACGGGTCTTCTCTCACCGTCCACCTCTTGTTGCAGGACAGCTCCAAGCCCTACTCCTGAGGCGTCTGTCTGTAAGATGAATGGTTTAGCAAAGTCTGGTGTGTGTAAAACTGGATGAGTACATACTGCTTGTTTGAGATCGTTGAATGCCTTCTCACAGTCTTCTGTCCAACACACTTTGTTGGGGGCTGCATTCCTTGTTAGCTGCGTCAGCACAGCTGATCGTTCTGCAAACAAAGGTATGAATTTCCGGTACCAGCCCACCAAACCCAGAAATCCTCTCACCTTCTTCTTTGTAGAGGGAACTGGAAAGGACTGGATTGCTTCCATCTTCCCCACTTGTGGCTTTATTTTTCCAAACCCAATAACAAAACCTAAGTACTCCACTTCTCTTTGTGCAACCTTACACTTCTGTGGGTTCACTGTCAATCCGGCCCGCCTGATGCGGTGTAGCACCTCCTTCAGATGAATCAGATGCTCCTCCCATGTCCGGCTATACACTACAACATCATCCAAATATGCTGCAGAAAACTCTGACACATCTCTCAACACTTGATCCATTAAACGTTGAAACGTCGCTGGCGCCCCCTGGAGCCCAAATGGCATGACTTTAAATTGGTACATACCAAAAGGCGTTTTGAAGGCCGTCAGTTCTCTTGCCTCTTGTGCCAAAGCCACTTGCCAGTAGCCTTTACACAAATCCAACGTTGTGATGTAGCTTGCTGAACCGACTTTCTCCAGTAGATCGTCACTCTAGGCATTGGGTATGGATCAAAGTTAGAGACACCATTTAAATATCTGAAATCTATGCAAAATCTCAGAGATCCATCTTTCTTTGGTACCAGCACAATTGGGCTGCACCACTCACTGCTAGACTCTTCAATGATACCCAAATCCATCATCAACTTTATTTCTTTTTCCAGCACTGGAACCAATCGCTGTGGAATGCGATAACTCTTTTGACGACTCGGTGCATCTTGTTTCAACTGAATCCTGTGTTTAACCAGTGATGTAAATCCTGGAACTTCTCTGAAGAGCTGAGGGTCCAAGAGAGGTTTGATTTCTTCCTGCTCAGTTGGAGACAGATGAGAAATATCAACCAGAGCACAGTCAGACATGTTGGTAGGAAAGAATTTTTCAGTCACCTCCTCATCCTCAACCGCTCTCACAAATAACTCCTGATGCACAGGTTCTTGGTGACTGTGGAACTCCTTCAACAAGTTAACATGAAAGGCTTGATGCTTCTTTATCCGTTCCGGCATATACAGTTCATAAACCACTTTACTCACTTGTTTGGTGATCTCATATGGTCCATGCCATTTTGTCAGCAGCTTGTTGTCACTGGTAGGCAGCAGTAACAGAACCTTCTGTCCTGGCAAAAAGACTCTGTCTCTGGCCTTCTGATCATACCATGTCTTTTGATGTCGTTGAGCTGCTTTCATGTTGTCCTGTGCAAAAGATGTCATTTCCTGCAATCGCTCTCTCATGTTAATGACATATGCTGCAATGTTTTCACCCTCAGGTTTCGCATCTTCCCAGCAGTCTCTCAGTAGATCCAGCGGACCTCTCACTTGACGTCCATACAATAATTCAAAAGGTGAAAAACCTGTGGAGACTTGTGGAACCTCCCTGTAAGCAAATAACAGATACGGCAGCCACTGGTCCCAGTCGACACCCGTGTCGGAGACAAACTTGCGTAGCATGTTTTTAAGAGTCTGATTGTATCTCTCCACTAGCCCGTCCGTTTGGGGGTGGTAAGGGGTGGTCTTAAGTCCCTTAATCCTAGTAATTTGTAAACCTGCTGCAACAGTTTGGACAAAAGTTTGTCCCACAATCTGTGAGAATTTCTCGGGGTATTCCTACTCTAGAAAAGAGCTGCAGGAGACAATTAGCAACATGTCGGGCCTTAATGGATCTAAGAGGAAAAGCTTCAGGATACCGTGTAGCATAGTCGCATATCACCAATATGTAACGGTGACCTGTAGTGCTTCTTTCTAATGGGCCCACAATATCCATGCCTAGCCTTTCAAAAGGAGTGTCAATAATGGGCAGAGGTTGTAGCTGGGCTCTTGCTACTCCTTTGCCTGAAGTCAACTGACATTTTTCACAGGAACTACAAAATTTTGAAATCTGGGTATACATTCCTGGCCAAACAAAACGACTACTGATTCTGTTCAGTGTTTTGTAAAAAGCCATATGACCTGCCCACGGAATTGAATGACCCAATTCCATAACTTTGTCTAAACTGTTGTGGAAGAGCTAATGCTTCACAATGTCCTTTCTTCTGATACAAAATACCTCCTTTAGTAATGTAAACTGCATCTTCACGGAAGTCTACCTGGCGCTGATGAGTTTCCTCCTCCCTAGTTGCTTTCTCAAACCAAGGTTTTAGAGTAGGATCATCTCTCTGGAGTGCACCTAAATCTGAGGGAATGTCAAACTCAAACATATTATTTGGCTTAGACAGCTGTTCTATTCCTTCATTATTTGAGCCTTTGAACTTCTCTTTTCTTTTCTGAGCTTTTGACTTTTTAGTTTTTCCCTGCTCTGTTTCCAGAGACTCTCCAAAATAAGGGAGTTCTTCCAACATCGCCTTTGAACTTTGAGCTCTTGTGACTACATTACATGGTTTCAATATTTCTGGTATATCGGATTTGAAACATGGACCTGGGGCATCTCTGTTGGTAAGTACTTGAGGCTCATAATCCGACTGATGAAGAAGGTCTAAGAGAGTGGGAATATCATTACCAAGTATAACTGAATATGGCAAAGAGGGAACTACAGCTACTTGTACCAGGTATGTTTGACCTCCCACTGTCAAATACACCTCTGCACTAGGGTAGACATGCTCATCTCCATGTATACAGCTTATTTTAACCCCCACCTCACTTAACTTTTCATGGGATTAAGCTTGCATGTACTAAAGACTGAAAACACCCAGAATCAAGCAATGCTTCTTCTTTCTTCCCATTAACTAGCACCGAAGCCGTACAAGCTTTTCTTTTTTCAACTTCAGTAGCCGCTCTTGGAATTGAACACATCAGTGATGGCTTTGATTTTAGGGCGGGACAAAAATGTTGCGTATGGCCAAAACCATTACAGTTGTAACATCTAATATCCTGACCTGACGACTTATGAAATGACTTTTTAACCTTAGCAGGTCGATGGGAAGGGAACTGCTTAAAACTAGAACCATTTCTAGCCTGACTTAGACCAGAGCCCTGTTCACCCCCAGTGGACTTACTTGGTTGGGCATAATGAGTCTCTTGGCCAGCATAGGTGCTCCAGCTCCCCCTCCTGGCTGATCTGAAGACTTCTGCAAGCGTAGCTGCTTCTTCTGCTGTCTTCGGGTCACGCTCACGTATCCAGACCTCCAATTCTGGATTAACCATCCTTAAAAACTGCTCCAGAATTATCTGCCCAGATATTTCTTGCACAGTAGATTTATCAGGTTTGATCCATCTTGAAAACAAGTCTTTCAGTCGAACATAAAGTTCACGCGGCGTCTCACCTGATTCAATCTTTAGGCATCTGAAGCGGCGTCGATAAGTATCAGCAGTAATTTCATATTTTGCCAGAATTGCCTCTTTCAGTTTATCATAGTTCTGAGAGTCAGCAATATCCATTAGAACATAGGCTGTGCGGGCCTTTCCGGTCAACAGAGGGACCAGACGAATCGCCCACTCATCTCTGGACCAACGACACACCTGGGCCATCCTCTCGAACGTCGTCAGAAAATGCTCAATGTCGTCATCCGTCGATAAGGGAAGAAATTTTGGTTCAATTATGGACCTGGAACCATGAGCCACCTGAACATCACTACCATCTGATTCTTCTGCAGGTGCTTC